TTGTCACATGTTTGTTTGATTGTAACAATGTATCTTATTATTTGACTAGTGAAAAATGAGAGAGTTACATTATGAAATTACAATTATGTTATATGTAATTTCATTTTTTGAGTATTCAACTTCCATTTATGTGTTTTTTGTCAATTGATATGCAACTGTATAGTATAGATATATATTGATTATTGAACGATTGTACTCACCCCTTCCTTTCAAAGGTTTAGGAATTTGTGTATTCCTACTACAAAGCCTGGTAACTTGATTTATTTTTTTGTAATAAATAACATATTACTAATTAGGATGTATTTTGTTTGCACTTGTACTACATTAATGTTTATAATCTTGCGATGTATTTTAGGCCTTGGAATATTGTATGTAAATTGGTTAAGTGTTAATAGGGCCAAAATACTAATGCAAGTGTAGAGAATATTATTATATTGATGAATTTGAAATCTAATGATTTATGCAATACTAATACCTTCCCCTTTCATTTTTTTATGTTAAAGGGGTTGAGGACTAAAAATTGAGAAATGTTAAGCATTAGATGTGTGTGGTGTATTATTCAAATAGTCCTAAGCCTATTTAGTTGTTTTCAGTGTTTGTGGTAATTTTTGGCACATGTGTGGGATTTTGGACACCTATAAGTCATGAAAAGTGTAAAAATTTATGAAAATATGTTTGGATTTCCATCTTTCTTTTTGTGAAATAATTTGGAAGTAAAACATGTGTCATTAGCTAATTTATAAAAAGAGTTTTTTTGTGGATACTTAGATCACCTTATTCAGGCATTGGATGGAGAAATAGGGCGCGTCAGAAGTCATCCTTAGTTGCCATCATTTGACAAGAAAATACTATCCGATAATATGCAACACGTTGTGATGCATGTTACAGAGGAGGAAAGTTACGGCACATATACATATGCCACAGTGCGTCATCGTGTTTTTCATTCCTCAATGTTTTTCAACTGATTTTTCAATCCTTTGAATCTCATAGGATATCCCATACTTTCACATCAATAATTATTCTAACTAGAGGCTTGTAGATTAAGTAATTTTAAAACATGAAAACTTAATACCCTATTTCTACTAATTACAAACTTAGTAATATAATTATATTAATTCAATAATTACCTTGAGTTTTAAAGTTAAACGTGAATTAATAAAGGAAACCTCACTACTTAATATGTGAACAATACATTTTCAATTTTCCCATTATTAAATATAATTATTTAATAATATAGTTTCTCTTCTTTTTTGACGTGGTATAAAAAATGTATTTTATCTCAACAACATTTATCCTTTATTTGGATAGGGACAAAATAGAGAAAAATAAAATTTAGGAGAAAAACTTCTAAAAATAGTAAACAAATTATTTTTTTTGGAAAATTTCTTCCCTTTATCTTCTCTCCTCATTTTCTTCTTATTTTTTTCTTTATCCAAACCAAGCCTTAATGAAGGGTGTCGTACTCGAAAATGTGACACCGATGATGTGAGAGCGGAGGTTACAGCCTTCGGAAGGAAGACCGAAGAAATGAGAGTCGTCACCAAGATTTTGAGAAAAATCTCAGGAAATCATTTAAAGGAGGATAAGGGTGGTCTACGAAAACAGAAAATAGTTCGGGAGTCAATTGAGTGTGGGGAAGATATTAGGGCATCCTATAATACCCGTTTTTCAGAACAGTTACCTAAAGTTTGTTGTGCTATATAAATATGGTTTTAAAATTATTATCCCTTTTATATTCATGTGTTTGAAAAAATGATAAGAATTAAGTGAGAAATATTTATTTATTTATGAGGGAGGACTTGACTCAGAATCCGACTCTGGGGCCTATGTACCCTGTGATGGGGATCAAAGTCCACTTAGTTCGGGCTTGAAAATTATTGGTAAAAATATTTTTTGAAGAGAAATTAATTAAAAAATAATTCACCATTTTGTAAATAAAATAATTTTTAAAATTTTGATATGTGTGTTTTAAATTGAAAAAAGTGATTTAATTTTACCTATTTCCTTAATTTTTTAAATTTTTTGGAATAAAGAAAAGAAAAGGGTTTAAAAAATTATTTTCATTTCTATTTTTTATATTTTATGATGAGAATTCAATCGCAATACCTACAAAACTTTATTGGCTCATACGGTAATACAATTATTTATATATCTGTGGAGATTTTAAAATCTCACACGATAAAAGATTTAGCAACTTAATTTATTTATTTATATTCTTATATATATTTTTAAGTAATAATAATAATTTTTTAAGCATGTATGTACCTATACACTTTTTAAAAACTCTTAATCATCATACCTGCAAAGCCTTATTACTTTTATGATAATATGATTATCCTAAATATCTGTGGAGATTCAAAATTCTCACACAATAAAGGATTAAATAATGTATATATTTTAAATATATTTTAAATGTGTAATTATACAATTTATATTTTTAAACATAGAAATCTTAATCGTTATACCTGCGAAGTCTTATTGACTTTCACGGTAAGATGATTATTTTAGAGGTCTATAGATATTCAAAAATCTCATATGATCAAAAGATTTAATACATTAATTTAATTAATTAATTTTATTAAAAAAATTTATAATTTTATTTACAAAAATTATTTATTTATTTACTGTATACAAAGTGATAATCACATCATTTACGAGGATTTATTATCCCAGACAATGATGTATTTAATTTAAATCTCAATGAAGATTCTTAAAATCTCTCATTAGACTTAAATAAATTATTAATATGGGTTATAAAAAGAGAGTTAAATTTAATGATAACCCATATAGATATGTACGAGATTGATCCTCGTGCCTGTAAAATCTTATTGATTTACACGATATGAAATCATTTTAATCAGTTATGGAGACTCACATGATTTTCACACAACCAATTTTATTTGAGACAATTGAAGCTATGTCTATTAAATACATATGGTCACATTTAGGCAGATTTAAATTTTAATTGTTAAAATGGCCTAACAATCTTTATAATTATGGCTAAAGAAACAACCAAGTGTAATTTAAAAAAAAATGCATTTCCCCATAAGTTACCGACAACATAAGCAACATTAATTGAAGTTAACATTGTTAAACATCACGGAGAATTTTTGAGCCAGAAAACACATTTAACTTGGGTGATCAGTTCGTGTGAATATACAAAGCTACACACGTATGAAACTAATTAGAGACGACAATTGATCTAATGAGGCAGATGACCCAAAGAAATGAAATATAAAAAAAAAATAAAAAATAAATCAGAACTTGGTGACCTAATGTTCAAGTACTTGTCAGCAAAGTGGGCGAGGTTCCTGAACTCGTTATCATCAATGAAGCCGTTGTGATCAAAATCTGCAGATTTGATGCCTCTCTTGTTCTTCCAGGAAGTAGAAAGGCAAATCTCAGGAGCCCCCGTTTGAACTCCTCCAAATTCATCACTCTCTTCTCTCCCCTTTTCTGTTTTTTCGTCCTCTATTTTTCTGCCTTTTTTCTAGCCAGAACCATTCTCTCTCTCGTCCTCTCGGTCCTTTTTTTCCTCTTCTTCTCTCTTCTCCATCTCTATTATGCTTTCTCCCTCGTGCGTGCTCTGTTTTTCAACTCCTTCGGTCTCTCTCCTCTCTGTCCTAGTCTCTTCCTCTTCGGACTTCTCCTTCTTTGTTTTCGTCTCAACTCTCTCTCCTTCTCGTCTCAGCTCTCTGTCCTAGTCTCAGCTCTCTCTCCTTCTCATCTCTGCTCTCTATCCCAGTCTCAGCTCTCTCGCTCATCACTGTCCAGACTTTGTTTTTCTTCTCTTTTCCTCTCGGGTCAGTACTCTTTTCCTCTCAGTTCTTACTTTGTTTCTATATTTTTTTTTTGTGCTTCATCGCTGAAGCTTCCTTAATTTTCTGCTCTCATTCTTGTGCTCTCTTTTCTGGTTTTTCTGCATTTTCATTTCTCTCCCTCTGTGCTCTATTTTTGTTTCATTTTCTCGTCCACCTCGGTCTTCCTTTAATTTTCCTCCTCTCTTCTCTTCCTCGGTTTTCCTCTCAGCTGTCCCCTTCCTTTAGTTCTTCATCCCTTTTAAAGCAGAAACAGGGAAGCTTGCATGTGAAGAGCTTACGTGCTGTGCGTGTGTTTCGTGTGTTCACTGTACACGCTTGCTTCTTCTTTTTTTTGGTGTTCTCTGCTCTTCCCTTTTCTTCTGTTCTATGTTTGCTTATTTTCTACTGTTGGTGCCTTGTCTCTGTTTTCGTGTTTTTCTACATGTGTACTGCTGGTCTTCTTTATCTCTATTTCTGTCATTTTCCATGTGCATGGCATCTAACCGATGGGTTAAGATTTAACCCATCGGTTTATATATATTTTTTTAAAAATTATAATTCTTTTTTTTTTAACTTTTTAATCTTGTTTATTAATTTAAAAGTTAGAAAGAGACAAAAGAAATTTAATTTTGAATTAAGCAAGCATATATTTTTTTAAAAGATAATAAAATTTAAAGAAAGAAATTTAAAAGAAGTTGACTCTCAAAAATTAGTTCCTAATATCTTGAATGGTTGGGATAATTTTGGAGATTTTTTTTTTTAAGATTTAAGATTTAAGTAAGATTTTTAATTTTGTTAGATTATTTGAAAATATAATCCTAAAAAAATTAAATTTTATTTATATATTTTTTATATTTTTTAATTATTTATTATTAAATTTAAAAAATGTCTAAATAAAATATAATGTTCACAAAAGGTAAAAAATATAATGATGATAAAAATTAATGACACATGTTATAAATAGGAAAGAAAAAAAAAATTCTCCTCTCACCGTTTAAATTGGACTTCGGTATCATTCATTTTTTTTTTAATTTTTATAGCTTTTTTCTTTTAACAGAATTCTTTTTTATACAATTTTTTAACAGAATTAACATAGCTGTTACTTATAACGCCATTCCTATGAGGCCCAATTTCAAAGGGATCTGAACGGCCTTAGAGATCTGAAGAATTGGAGCAAGGTCAAATTCAAGCATTTTCATGTTATTGCCGGTGAGCAAAAAAGCCCGTTTTGGACGGAAAGATCCGTTCATAATTCATATAGATCCAGCCCAGAAACAATCCTTCGGCAATTCCCTCCTCGGTCCTCGCACTGGATTGTGAATTGTCTGCGAGAAGGGACAGTCTTTCACGCACAATCTTCGCACAGCACAAGGCATGGCGGCTACCTGTGCTAGAAAATCCCTCCAAATCGCTTCGGCTTCTGCGAGAACCCATCTTTCCCGTCGTTCTTTATCTGCTCTTACTTCGGATGCCTCTAAACTTAGCGGGTTTGGTTCATGCAGACCCGCTTGTGCTTCTCGAGTTGCAGTGCAGAAGCGCTCGCTCTCGTTTTCATGGTGAATTCCTCTGCTCTGTTCGTACGATTGTCATGTCTTGCTCAATTGGTATCCCTCTTTTGGTGTTTCTGGAACATAGCGATTATAGTGTACAGTCTATTAACATCACTGTGTACTATTCCTGAAGAAATCCAATTGACGTTTTCTCGTTGCATCACTCTCAGCATTTCTTATCATTTACGAGGAGAATGATCTGTTTGGTTGTGCAATATGCTGACAGTCTTTGCTTTCCCATATTGTTATTTGAAAGTCCTCCTTAGCATATTGGAATTGTTTTCTCCTTCTAATTCCTAAATTTGTTGTTGTTGTTGTTGTGCTTTAGGCTTCCAAAGCAGTTGGCTGGCGCACAGGTGTCTTTGATACCATTGCATAGTGCTACTTCCTCTGCCTTGTTCACTTCTCTGCTATCTCTGCACAGTAACAAGTGGGGTTGTCTATCTGAAGGTACCCTTCTTGAATTACTTTTTAAATTTGTTGTATCATTTTAATTATCAATCCTGTGGTTCACAATTCTCATTTCTAGTCGGTTTTTTGGGAAAAATGGGCACTGGTACATAATTGATATTTGATTCACCTCAATATAATTGTAATAATGAGGGCGAAATGCTTGGTTAATTTAGGCGTTTTGGGTATGACATGTTATCCTTGCCCTCCAAAGATACGCATTTGTAATTTTCCTTCAAGTCCCATATTTTTTTTTTTTTGGGTACATTTCATTGCCCAACGTTCGCAACACTTCTTGCCTTAGAAAAGTAGCAATAATCTACTATGCAACAAGTGTCAAGTCTGGACAAGGGAAGGATCTACAAGATTCGCTTCAGGGCTTCACATAAGAACAACTTTCAAGTGTCAATTTGATTAAAATGGAAGGCATAGTTAGTTTTAAATTCTAGTTCCTTCACAGCAAGCTTGAAGTTTAAAAATTCAAATTTTAGAGAAGGTATTTGATTTTATTAATAGGTTAGATTTTAAAATGAGGAATGATAGATATGAAATGAAGGCCTCTCATACTAACATGATTTACAGCTAATAAGCAATTGACACCAGAGACTGCCAGGGTCTCAGAACTGCTCCTTCTGCCAAGTGCCAATAGAGTCGACAATGCTCTTAGGCTCCTCCTAGTCTTACCATATGAGTAATTGTCAGCAAATACCCCCCAACTTGATGCATTGTTGCTTATTTGAAAATAAGTTTGGCAGCAGCTAATAAATTTGGACCTTACGTACTGTTTTTTTTTTTTTTTTGGTGCACTGGACCCTCCGTTCCCAACCCTTGAAATTAAAGGGCTGTAACCAGAAGGATTGAATATGGACTATGGCATAGTCTAGCTGGGCTATGGGCTCTCTGGCATTGACTTAGATCAGTCACTAATAGGAAATAAAATGTAGGCTGACTCAAAGAATGCTCATTTATTTTTTAATACATGCGCTACCCTGCATTCTCACCATTATGGTACCATAAAACTTCTTGCAGACATCTCATGAAGACTATCTTCATGGTGGCATCAGTCACATCTATGGAGGAGACTTCTATGAATAGATTGGCTGAATATACTCTTGGGTTGCTGGAAGAAGTGATTCTCTTCTCTTTTGTGCCTCTGTTTTTTCGGGTTCCCTATTCTATGCAACCGAAGCAGAATTTGTCTTTAAGTAGATTGTTAAGGCCTGCGAGCCCAACTAGGTCTTTCAGTTTTTTTCAATGCCAAAGATCTTTCTGTTTTACTGGTGCTATTTTTTCAAAACTTTTGATGCTTTCTACCGTACTTTCTTTTATTATGTGATGCTTTCTTATTTTGACTTTCAGAACTTAAATGATCTTTTTCTTTCATTTTTTATACAACTATGGTGTCCAATACTACTACTTAATCCATATCAGAGCATCATTGGGCCTAAATAAAAGTTAACTCTCCTTGTGTGGTTTTTTTTCAATCCACAAGATATGAAATATCGACCTTGCTTAAAGGGTATCAAGTTCCTTCTACTTGATCCAATTACCTTTGGTAGACTTTTTACCTCTTTTTATAATAACTAAGTCATTACAACTTTCTTGGATAAAACCTTTCAACCTAAAGCTAAACACCCTCAAGCTTCTTGAATCCTTCTTTAGTAGTTGGCTTTGGTTCCATCTCCCTTTAAGCTAAGCTGATGGCTCACTGCTGTGACTCTATCTGAATTCTGATTCATTACCTACTCCTTGGGCTGAATGGATTTCCTTAAGAACTGAAGTTAATTTACATGTGAATGTGTGGTTAGTAAGGGGAGACAGAGTGAGAATGTCGAGATCTTCATGGCTTGACTTTCCAGACATTTCAGCAAACTTGAAATTAGGGGAGTATGACTGACTTGACTGTCTGATACTTTTGGGAGCGGCTAATGTGGGAGAATACTAAAGCAGTGAAAACATGAGTGGTTGATTGAGTGTAAAGGAAATCACATGTCTATTTGTTTCTGCCTGGAGGAAAGATTTCCCTTTAAAAGGTAGCGGTAACATAAGTTGGGGCTTTGTGAACTGTGGTTTCTGTTGATTCATCCCATCGAAGATATTGCCACGTTGAATAATGGATGTCTTCATTCTCATGTTAATTTTCATATCAATTTTGAGTCCCTTCATTATCTTGCTCATCATTGTGCTTTGTTTTATTCAAATTGGACCTCTGTTTAATTGTTTACCGGCAATCCTAATTTTTACTGTTGTTGTGACAGGTTTTGCAACACCTCTATAACACGACATTTATCAATGATATCTTGCTTGTATGCCACCCGGATACCATTAAGTGCAACTTTTGCTTTCAACCCTTGTTTCTACTTCGTACCGCACTCAATAATGTAACTTGATTAGTTCTTCCTTGGAGACTCAGGTTTTCAAATTGTGCTCCGGTCACATTTTGAAGATATTTTTGCTGCTTGAGATTTTTGAAAGATCGGCCTTTTCATTTCAGTTAACACTTAAATGTGGGAGAGAATTTTTTTCCTGTACAACTGTGACGTTTTTCAAGAGTGACATCTTCCACTGGCACAATTAGGGACTCAGATGCACATGCACTGCTTGAATTCAGGATTAGAAAGATTCTAATTAAAATGAAATTAAAGCTCCGCCTTTGCATTCCTGTATTTTTATTGTTTTGGTTCAGTCAGATCACTGTTCCAATTATCTAGGGAGGCCTGTTATGCATCGGTCTCACTCTTAACTTTTCCGGGAATAACGGACAAAAGAATCACTGTTTCAAACTCTTACAAATTTGTCACGACGCTGAAGAAGTCTGGAGGAAAGCATAAAAGCTACAGATGAAAGGGAATTATAGAAAACGATACTGCCGCTATATCAGTGATGTGATGTGGTATGGATCATGATTATCGGCATGTTATCGAGTATTGTATGAACCTTAAGCTAAAAGTCATTGTAAGGACTTGATCAAATGAAGTGGAGACAAACATTAGCTTCTGTATGTCTGTAAGTAATTATGACTATGATCAAAATACTATCTTTGCTACAAAATGTAAAATATTCTTTGAGAGGCTGTATTGTACGTTTAAAAATGTTATTATTTTTAAAGTGTAATTAATATGTTTTTTTCTAAAATTATTCTCAATAAATAAATCATTCTATATTTATTTTCAAGTGAAGCGTCATATTAAATAAGGTATGAGACAATGATGTTGGTTTAAAGATAATTAATTAATTTATTGAGAATGAGATTTAATTTTTTTAATAGAAGGAGTAATAAACACGATAAAGGATAACAAATGTTAATGTAAAAGATAACGGCTCTTGTCCAATCAAGTGGATTAAACATTCAATTACCACTCTTTGTATATATTAAGTTTAGTTTAAAGGAGTATGCATTTTACGTTCCGTGCTTGAGAAAAATTAGTCTCCATTGTCGTGCAAGATAATCTTCATTTATCAATAAAGAAGAAAAACACGAATAGCTTTATGAATTATTCTCCTGGAAAAAAAAAACAAAGAAAGGGAAAAAGAAAAAAGAAACATGCGGGTTTTGTGATGAATAAAGTTGGGCTCTCAAATTCCAAGTGACTAAATTATCACTAACATGGTTGGATGCATGGCTGGAATTATTAAATAGTCAAATTTATAGTCAAATTTAAAAATCATATAAATTATTAAATAGTGGTTTGCGGGGGGTAAAACATGACAAGTGACTAAATTATCACTAACATGGTTGGATGCATGGCTGGAATAAATAAACCAAAAAATAATTCAATGTCCATGCCCAAAAATAAAATAAACCAAAACCTCTCAGGCTCGTCTCTCGGTTACGACTTTTGGACGTTTCTCATGCATAGTTTACAGTTTATAGTTGTTACGAAGATAGATATTAATGATGACAATGATTGTCATATTCCATTATAGGCTTATTTACACAAATTAAATTATGGTTGTGTGAGGTTTCGTGATTGTGGAATGTGGAGGACAATACTTTAAGGTGACGCCTCATCCTCATATGTTTGGCCTAGATAACAAAAGGTGGCGCTCCATATTCTTTGATCTAATATGGTACCATTAATATTGATTAACAAAATAATAACATTGTGTGCTTTACCAAAAAAAAAATATAATAATAATAATAACATTGCGTATCAACCAGTCCAAATTAAAAAAAAAAAAAATCAGACTCTGACTAGTTATTGGATCGTGACTACACGCGCCGACTTCTTGAGTGATGACTGAAAGTTTTGGCGGCACACTTCCATGTTTATTACCACCACCATCACTGCCCAGGTGCTTCTCGCTTATAAATTGCCCTCCCATCTCATTTTTCTTTTTGTAGTGTGATAGTCTCTTAGAGAGTAAATTTCATTAGGTTATTTCAGCTTCCGAGCTACATTGCTATGTCTCTGTCTCCTCCTGCTCCTCGAGGATCACTGGGCAAAAAATGACTACTTCAGCTCGTACGATGGACGAAATTTATCAGGAAAGGAAATTGCTAAAGCATGTTCGTGATAATGTTCATGGCAACATCTTCCTCGAGCCGGTAGTCACTATTCGATGTTTCGCTTTCACTAAGTTTTCTCCCCGTTGTTCTCGAATATAACGCGTTTCTTCCGTCTTTTCTTTTTTTCTTTTTCTTTTTCTTTTTTCCAATTATATTAACTCGTTGATTTTGTAATATCGAATCGTTATGTGAGATTTTTCTCTCTCTCCTGATTAGCTTAGCTGAGACTAAGAATTATGTTGTCCTTGTGTAGATAGAATCGGCGGAACAGATTCAAATCCGTTCTGTTTTGAGTTCGCTGCTTCGTTTTGTTAATATATTCTGGTTAATCGCTGAAAGAAAATCTGGAATTCCTACCCGAGATTTTTATGAATTACACTAATGTCGGTTTATAAGAAAAGAATAAAGGATTTGAGCCGTTCACGTCATTGTATTGATATCGTGTGCCTGAAGGCAGCCAAAGAAAACAGAAAAGTAACGACAAACTTTCGACTCTGATACGAACTACGTGAATCAACTAGATATATAATAATTTGGATGTGTAATCACCATTTTTCCTGTTACGTAATTAAGATTTTAACTGTATATTTTACAGGCATGCTGCAGATGATTTGTTTTCCAAAAGTTAAAAGTTTACTCTTTCTTTTAATGCAAAAAGTGGATTAACTTTTTTACCGCTACTATTTTCATTGCATTTGGAGGATATATTAGTAAGTAGTTGTCAACTTTTACTAACCTCGTCTGCTGCAGATCTTCTTGAAGTTTGTTGACACACAACAATTTCAGAGGCAAGTGTGCCTTACCGAAATTAGTCAAATCGTTGTATTTACATTTCGTATACTCCTCTAACTTTATTATTTTATTCAAATCTTTTGTATTGCAGACTCCGTGATTTGAAGCAACTTGGTGAGTCAGCTTATCGTTAAGTTATTGGCTGCATATGCAAGAAATATAATTTTATAGGAGTACTTCTATCGTGTAAATATTCAATTAGCTCCCGTGGAGTCCTGCCGGTAGAGTCTAAAATGTTAATTATTCAGAAGTAACACTCTTAGCTTTCTTTAAATGTATCTTCCCGAAGCCCTTCATTCTTATCAAATCTAGTGAAATCTATTTCTTTTAGTTGCTTGAATGGCGATAAAGTAAGTGTCGCCAGCATTTTGTATTACTTCCTCGGTGACTATTTGTCAACCAAAAAGGAAATCTATTAAATTGCTGCAACTATTTGCTAAGAATGTGAACTCCGTTGTTAATTACAAGAAAACAATTAGGTTTGTTAAAGTTGTGCTGATTGCAAAAATTTTCAAATATTAAACAAAAAAAGAAAAACCATTTCAAATTTTCAATGGATGCAACTTTATCAGTCATTACTAACTTTAGATTTTACATGCTCCAGGTTTAACTCACATGGTTTACCCCGGGGCTGTACACTCTCGTTTTGAGCATTCACTGGGTGTTTATTGGCTGGCCGGCAAAGCTGTAGATATTATTAAAAGATACCAAGTAATAATGTATCTTAACTGTATCATGTAGATGCTTCTTATGACACTATCCTGCTTATAAACATAACCGTACTTTTAGGGCCCAGAGCTTGGTATTGAGCACTCTGATGTACTGACGGTAAAACTTGCTGGTAATGACATCTCTGCTCGAATCATTTGTTTTGACTTTTGACTGATCGTAGTCAGCTATTTTATTGCTAGTCGTCTTTGTTTCTAGGTCTACTTCATGATATTGGCCATGGGCCATTCAGTCACACGTTTGAGCGCCAGTTTCTTCCCCAGCTCCTTAGTGGCTACCCATGGTAATTCTAACAGCTTTTGGAAAATTGAAATTTTATGACTTCCCCCGTAGGGAATGGTTTCCACAGGTTTATCCTTTCGTTCATTTAATAATTGTATCGTTTTTTTCTCATTCTTTTTCCTTGGAAAGTACCAAGTGCTAGAAAAACAAGATCTGGATCTCCTTAGCTTGGGGGGGGGGGGTGTCAAAGATAGACTTAAACATACCTGTGATGTCAGAAAGTTATATAGTTACAAACGCTCACAGAACTGTAAGCCAGTAATAATTAGTTCAAAAAATAAATTAACAGTAATAATTTTTTTGCCCCATTAGATCAAATGTTTTCCCTTTAAAATGTTCTTTAGAGCTATTCATTGAGTCATTATGATGTTTGTCTGAGTGATGATGTATTTTTTAGTGTACCTCTGTTATGAGTTGCGTGAATATGGAATAGATATACCTCATGAGCATTAAGAAAACCATTGATATATTAATATCAATATGAATTATGAAGAGTAAGTTTTAGTACACTACTCGTTTGAATTCAAAGTTCTTGTTAAACTTAGCAGGATGACAGAATATTAATAATGAGATGTTTTATTTAGTTTGATTCGCAAATTTAGAGCAAAATATTTCATTTAAGCAATATACTATTGAAATCTGTGTTAATAAAATAATATTTGAAAAAAATTAGAAAATAATTGTACCCCTCATACTTTGTGGCTCTGCCACTGCTGACATGTAATCTGCAAGCATAAATCTTTCTGTCTCCTTAATTTATAGCTCTTATATTGGAATATAGGTTCACATTATTTCAACAAGGATACATACATCATGGCTCTTCCAGAGTAATGTATTAGTTCTCTGGTCTTCATTGAGCAAGCAAAAATGTTATGTTTTATGCTTCTGCCACAGTTTATTACAGTTTATTCTGCCACAGAGGATTCATCATATATAGTGTTAAAACTTTTTCAGGTCTCATGAAGATATGTCTGTAAAGATGATTGATTACGTTGTTGACGAGCACAATATTGATATAGATCACGAAATTCTCAAGAAAGCCAAGGTTAGATTATAGGATTTTTTCTGGACACAATGTATTCCATGTGCTCTATAGACTACTCTAACGAATTAGTAGAAGTTAACAATAAATTATTCAACTTAAATTTCATGGAACGTTCTTGAATATTACGAGGAAAACTTGTTTGAGTGTTGTTCCCCAATGACGGGTAGGCTGCCTACCCAAGAATGCTTATGTTCAATGTTTTTCTTCTTATTTTTGTTTTTGTGTATGTTTTTCAAGATAGAAATTCCACAATGTGCGAGAAGTGGACTTCTGTCCATTTGCAGTGCAACGTGAATAGATTGCAAGGCATTGATGTAATAAGTATAAAACACAGAATCCGAAATGTGTGTGGAACGTGTACACAATGCACCTTGATGGAGCGACCGTAGCCCTAATGCTTGTCCTACTGCAGAAATTTTTTATTTTCACACTACGTTTTTTGCCCATCGACATTATTTAACTCCTGAAAGTCTTCACTTTTCCTCATTGTTTTTTACATAGACATATAAAATTTAATATCCCTCTGCTCTTTTGACAGGAAATGATTATAGCTAGTCCTGATCGTCCTTCACAAAGAGTATGCCTACCTTGGATTCTTCCTTTTTTTTTCTTGGTTGGGGGTGGGGGTGGGACGTATTTGTTTTTTCTTTTTTTTTTTTCATGCCAAATTCCTCAACTATCTTTATGCTCAGTTTCACTTTTACAAATTTGTTTTATGTATATTCGGCCCAGGAAAAACAATTCTTGTATGATATTGTTGCAAATGGTCGCAGTGGAATTGATGTCGACAAGTAAGTCATGCTGTTCTCCCTTACTTGATCGTTAATACTCGCGCTCTTGAAATAATTTATGCACGAACAGGTTTGACTACATTGTTCGTGACACCCGTGCTTGTGGCCTAGGATGCAGCTTTCAGCCTGACAGGTGTTCATTCTTGTTCTGTAGTGGGCCTTTTTGTTGGTGTGAATGTTATTTTATTTTTGGGTAGCCAATATTGTGTGAATTTTCTGTTTCACAGCATCTGCACTCCTTTCCGGCTTACACGTGTCGGTTTATTCTCAAAATATGCAGATGTCGCTTTCCATTTCATGACTTATCAATGTCGGGTTGAGAACTGAAGCTTAATTAAATGTTCAACTTGCAGGTTGATGGAGACGATGCAAGTTGTTGGTGACGAAATATGTTATCGTTCTAAAAATTGTTAGTACATAGTGAAAATATTTTGATATCATTGTAACAGCGAAAGCTGTGAAGAGTTGCAAAAATTAACACTTTATTGACGTTTTGGTCAGATCTGACAATTCACAAGCTATTTGCGACCCGTGCTGACTTGCATCGGACAGTCTATGCACATGCGAAAGTGAAGGTGATTTATTTCTCCAAATTGAATTTTTTAAACTTTTATTATATCCAGAGAAAACCACCTGATTTGTGACTGTTTCCCTTGTCAGGCAATAGAATTAATGGTGGTAGATGCATTGGTAAAAGCTAATCCGTATCTCAGTTTGACGTCCTCAATTCATGAACCATCTGAGTTTTGGAAGGTAATTCTCCTCAAATTTTCGTACTCAGGGCTTCCAAGTTCATTTTATGGAGCCAAATTCGCTCTTTAATTTCAGCTAGATGACTCAATCCTTAAAACAATTGAAACTTCTACCGGAAAAGAGCTCAAGGAATCTAGAGACCTCATTCTTCGCATTCGCAGAAGGGATATATACCAGGTTTTATTATTATCGCTTTTCTAAGGGAGGGAAGAGGTCCTCCACTTTTTCCTCTTTAACTAAATTCTTTTTAATTGGTGGATAGATATTGATGTTTGCATAAATTACGCATGCAAGTTTAAACCATATGATCTTTTTCCAATTTTACAGTTCTGCAATGAATTTTCTGTTCCAAAGGAGAGGCTTGAGCACTTCAGAGGCATCACACCTCAAGATATTGTTTGCTCGCAGGTCCAAGACCAAAACCCTATATTAACAATACATGTTCATTTAAACTCAATTTAAACATGTGTTTTTCCTTTTTGGCGAGCTTATACACATGGAATCTCATTCCAATATTTTTCAAACAGGTAACAAATGGCATCACTTTGAAAGAAGATGATGTCGCTGTATGCAATGTTAAAATTGATTTGACATGTGGAAAGGAAAACCCTCTTGAAAGGTACTTGGGAAAAACAATAATTCGCTAATTGATCTTTCTTTCATGGAGTTACTTTGGCATAGCATAACAAATGTTGTTTCTTTTTGTTCATGAATTTGCGGATCCAGAATAAAGTTTTTCAAGGTACTAAGAGCATTCAGCGTGCATACCTTTTTCCTCAATTTCTTGTGCTTTAATTTTTATTGAGTTGAATAATGAACAGTTATTATCAATTACACTTCTTTCCTCGCGGAGAGCTTTAGCAGTTGCTATTGTATCAGGACTACGGCGGGGATCAAGAAAAATTTCCCATCGCGGAAGACCGTATCAGTCACTTGTTGCCAGCATTTTACGAAGACATGATAGTGAGGGTTTATAGCAAGAGGCCTGAACTGGTTAGTGGCAATAAACAAAATTACGTCCCCTTTTGAAATGGGATTTCTTTTTCCAATGTATAGTTTAAGTCGTTTGATTGATTTTCCAACCCTTTTATAGGTGGGAGATGTTTCTGCTGCCTTTGAAAATTATCAGCTCAAGACCTTCGGAAGGAAGGCGCAAGTTCATGAAACCCCCAACAAGAAAAAGCGACGAAAATGATTGTTTGCATATTCATCCATCTTGAAGCTTGTAAATATTGGTTCCCTATTCTCTAACGATTTGTCTCCAACGGCTTCCTTACACAAGTTTGCTAATTGCCACTTGATATAAATAATGCCCTCACCCTCCATTTGTCTATAGACTTTATGGCACATGTGAAATTAAGAATGTGTATTATGCCTGAATGCTTGATCAGCCTGACCCTACCCAAGGCATTTAGATACATTAGGCAGAGCTTCAAGCCAAACACTGAGCAGGAGTCAAACCTTGCCCTACTTGGTTTGAACATGTGCCAAGTTTTTTTTTAATAATATTTTTATTATGGTTTTTTTTAAGTTATCATAAATTATATTATTTTCATGATTTTTTAGACATTTTTTAAATCTCTTTTAAAATTTAAAATTTGTTTTTGACTTATTATCATGTAAAAATAATTGATAGTTGTTTATTTGAACTTTTTAAAAAAAATTACTTTTGATTCTAATATTAATTATAGGAAGAACATATTTTAAATGATAATTATAATTTTTTTTAAAGAATTTTTTTATATTTTTAAAAAAATACTTGTAAAAATATTTTTGGATTAATTGGGCCAAACCCAACATGAAAAATTGAAAATCAGGTAGGGGTGATGCTTGGCCTGACTTTACCCATATGTAGCCTTGTGTAAGTGTAAAAATTCCACAACCATCTTTTATTTATTTTTTCCATTTTGAGGAATATATATACACATACTTTTATTTTAACTGTAGAACTTACAATTATTATTATAAATAAATCAATAATGATAGATGACAACTGTATAATATTATTATAATTGTCTTTTTTGTACATTAATAAAATTTTTACTTTGAACCAAAAAAATTGTTGCCCCCTTAGACTAGAGGAAAATTGACATTAGACATGCAGCCTCCACTCCATAGCTAATTGTTTGTGAGAACGAGTTAAACGAGTTATACTCTTGCTCGCAGCAAGAATGTTCGTTTGCAATTTTTTTTTTTAATTGGGAATACAAGGTCACAAAAAAAAAACTGTGTAAAAAGATACAAAAATCAAATTATGTCAAAGTTCAAGAGGATTCTACATTTTGAAGGTAGATGATTAAAAATAATATCTAAATTGTCTTAAGATACTTGGTGTGCGAGTATATTAACACATTTATTAGATTCTCTGAATATGTGATTAGAAGTGATCATCTAATCTTTCACAGTGAAGCCCTAATTTTCTTAATAGTTTTTGATAGTGGATGACTATCAAAGAATTTACCTTAATTGAGCAAAAGATCTTCCATAGAGTTAGAATGAATATTTATTTTTGTGAATTTAGCATTCTAACAAAAATTATAACCTTTTAAAATGCCTAAAAGTTTAGCAATGATATTGGGGTGATAATTAAGATATTTTGAAAATCTCTTAATTCAATTTCCTTTCTTATCACGAAGAATGCTACCACAAGCTAAAGCCTTGTTAGAACTAGCTAATCCATCTATCTTGAGTCGAACCCATCCTACTTCTAAATAATTTTATTTAGCTTCAAATCTAAGCCTACCTTTATTTAAAAGATTCATTTTGGATTGGAGCCTCATATTATTAATTATTTGTTGGGTATAAGAGAAGGCAATGTCTTTGTCGTGGTTATCCTCTTTTGAAAAAATCATCTTGCATCTCGCTTTCTAGATATTCCAATAGATATATGCAAAAAGCATCTACCATGAAATTCTTCTTATGCTTAAGCTACTAGCCTCATTCTTTACATTTCAAGTTAACCAATACTGCATAAAAAAGGAAAAAAAAGTATTAAGTTTGAAGGATTTGACTAATTTTAGCCAAACCTCTTGAGCTTCCTTACAGTCTCTCAAAATATGAATTGAGAAATCAGGAGAGTTACAACTAAAAGTATAGGGTCTTTGAAAGGGAGCACTTCCTTTGATAGTTACAAAGTTGGTTTGTCGTCTATCCCAAGCAACTTTTTAAAGAAAACACTAAATTTTCTCATAAGTAGGCCACTTTTGAATCTTAGACTAGATATCAAAATTGGTTCGATCTTTTTAGACCTTCATAGTTTTATAGGTATATTTGATAGAAAAGTTGCCATTAGAGGAAGGCCTTTAAAAGAAAAAAAAAACATCTTCATCTCCATGTAAGTTGGGGGGGTTGCATTAGTAGTATCTATCAAATCACATTAGGGTAAAGGTGGTGACTTAAAAGATTGAAATTCCATCTACCTGTAGATGAGCGAAGATCTGAGACTCTTGCATGAAGAATAGGTTTAGCACTTGGAAGGGTGTATCTAGCAAGAGGTTTAGGGATGGGAGACTATTTGTCATACTAGAAGGATTTTTTGTCCGCTTCATTCACTTTTCATCCGATGTGGATCATGAATTTATTCTAGATTTTACATATATTACTCTATGTATAACAAGAAAAGCTTTGGTTTACGAACCTTAGGAATAATGGGCTTGGCGTAATTGTATTTGTCATGGTGGATTCGAACCCAAAGCCACTTGGGTTAAGTGATGAGACCCAGGCAAAGCTTCATGATGTAGGTGATGTTTTGATTCATGATATTTTTAAGGCCAAGGCTTCCATTCATTTTATCCTTAATAACACAATCCCAAGAAAGAAGATGAAATTTTTTTGGATTCATTTGAAGAATCCCAAAGGAATTTTCTCAAGCATTTTTCAAGTTCGATTAGTACATCATCAAGGATGAGCATAGTCTGCATGGCACAACTAGAAAGGGCCAAAAGAACAAAATTAATAAGGGCAAATTTTTTGGCAATGTTATGAAAACAAATCTTCTAAGTATTAAAAGCTTGTCAAGTAAAGGAGTAAAAGTAAGCTTGGTAGCTTACTCATGAATCAAAGGAATTTCAAGATATTTTGCTAAGATTTCTTGTAAGTGGAATGCTTAATTGATCACTGATTTGAGTTGCTCTATTTATATTGACATTTTTGAAATAGAAATGTTTAGATTTGGCAATATTAATTTTTTGTCCCAAGGCATTGCAAAAATTAGAGAGACATTGTTGAATTATTGTAGCTTGCATAAGAGATGCCTTTGCAAACAGTAACAATAACCTTGAGTTGTATTAGCATCAATGATATTGAGTTCAAGTCTTGTAATTACAAAAGTGTTCAATACTTGGTCGGAGAGCTTTGTTACTCTTTGTGGCATTGCTTAGTTTGATTGGAACTAACTTAGACCTTATTAAGTTTTCCTAGTAAAATGACGCAGATCTAAGATATTAGGTTGTGTAAAAAAAATTAAATAGTATTTTTACCCTTCAAGTATTCACTTAAGAGTGTCTAGTGTTTTAAATTTACATATGATGCAACTTTTTCCTTCAAAATTTGAAAATAATGTATCAAGCACTAATGTTTTAAAAACCAAATTAAACGATAAACTGGAGAAGTCAATGGGTTAGGATTCTCATGGTTTAACCAATTGAACCGGTGGTTAAACTGGTGAGATAATAATTAAACAAAAATAATATTTAAATGAAAAAAAAAAACATGTTAAAACAATCAAACCATTCTAAATCTCAAGTTTTTTTTTTTTTTAGTCTTCATGAACTGCTTGAGTCAAAACAAACCAACTCTAGTCAATTGCCAGAACAAGCTAAATGGTTGAACCAAATCACTTTCTTCTCTAGGCAATAGCCTGACCATTCAGGTCGGTCTAGGTCTAAAAATGTTATCAAGCACCTTGCCGTTAAAAAAAAATTAATTTTAATCATTAGTTGAGCCAACAAATTACAAAAAAACCTAAAAATTATATAAAAAGAGTAAAAGACACATAAAATTATAAGTGAGTACCTTATAAAAAAATGAATATCGATAAGTTCATAAAATAATATAATAATGTATAAGCATTCCTACAAATAGTGTTCATGCAAATAGTATTACATGTGAATAAACACATTTTTACCCTAGTTGTAAACTTTTCAAAATTTATAAATTTTAAAAGAAGACTTATAAATTATCACACTATTTCAAAGACTTAATTGAAATTTTTTATAAAATATTTATGTATATTTTTTGGATCATTTTCTATACATTTTAAAGTCTTTTTTTTTTTTTGCAACTTTCAAGTCCACTAACATTTTTTTTTATTTTAATAGCAAAGTGTTCAATGCATCAGTTTTAAATGTTAAAATATAAAATTACATCACATATAAATTTAAAATATTAAATACTCCTGAGCAAATAACTGAGAGAAAGATATTCTTTTACCCTTAAAAAGACAAGCATCCAATTGTAGATCATTAAAGTCATCTGGATTCTATCACCCCGAAAACAAAAGGTCGATCTTCTAGATTCCATCAGAGCAAGTGTTGTTGAGTGAAGCAGCTTTCTAATCTCAATGCAGAAAGTTATGGGGCCGAATGGCCAGGAATCTGTTTAATGTCTACACGTTGATATATGAAGTAACATGTACAGTATTACTGATTTGATGTTTCTACTTTACAAGCTTGCCATTTCTCGTTGTCAACCCTGTGGTTTCCTCTATACATTTGAAGAAAGCTCAGCCCAAAAAACTAGGTCATGAAGGGGACAAGTTAGCATGTCATACTCAGGCATAGCAGACATGACCAATTTTTGCATGCAATGCCGCTAACAGGTCACAGTACACTCTTGATTCCAAAAACAATTTGCAAAATAATTGCTGTGCGGTATCTACACCAGGAGGCTGAAAAAAGCTGCATCAACAATGTGAACTATGGACAAATTGCTCAACTAGTGGAGTGAAGATTGCAATGCAGGTTTCAAGACTAGGTCATGAATCATGGATGGTCACCACAGGGTGCTTGCGTGCTTTATGAAATTCGATCTTAAGCAAAGCACGTATTCTCACTCTCAAAGCAGATGCCTCTTCAGGTTGGAACCACTGCCTCCCAAACTGTAGATTGAAATGAATCAACCAATAAAATTCATTAATCCAAAATGAAAATACACGCAACATTATATATATTGTCAACTACCATGGCCAGATCTTTCTTCTTCAATCTTTTAGGAGCCTCTTCAATGAAACGCTTGATGAAGTACAGCACAAAAAGACCACAATCATAGTCATTCTTCTGTTGAGGGACCTGGTGCAAAACGTGGGTGTATATTTAAGATATATATATCACCTTCCAAGACTTCAATAATTACCATCGTAGATAGTACAAAGGCAAGGAATTTGTACCACCAAAAACCTGACTGGTGATTCGACTTTTTTGGTTAAAAAGGGGAAGGGGGGACTCACCGTGATGATTCTTTCTTCGATCTTAGAGTCAAGTTTCTTCCATATTCCATCTGCAATAGGAATATCTGAACACGAAGATTCTTGGTCCAAATATCTCCATTCTTCTATCAAATATCTACAGCGCATAAGTTCACATCTTCTCAAAGCTTGATATACACATCAAAGGCAAGTGCAAAACACAGCAATCGAGAGACTATAATAAGAGATATAGCAGAGACTAAATAATTGGAAGTTAGCAAAACTTTATAGAACTCATGTCATATTATCAAGTTGCACAACCAGAAAATTTTCATCAGACTTGACAACAATGTAAAAAACTCACCCCAAACTATGCCGGGTTTCTACTTTCTATAACATGTATAACAGGATAAGATGCCAAAAACAGTTATAGTTTCAGAAGTTACTCAGATTAGACAGTGCAGTTCTGTCAAGGTAAAATGATATATGGGCAGGCCAGAAGAATGATCATAGAAAAATCTAATTAAGTGATTTGAACTATGTCATTGAATCATTCATCTCATTCTTGAACATGAGAGATTAACATGATATATTAACTTATCTCACTTAATTTGTGATGGAACCCTCTACTTTATTAAGCTTAAAAACAAGCTAAACAAGAAAATACACTTCAAATGGAACTAAAAATACTATTGCTGAATAACAGGGTCGCATTACGAGCAAAATAAGGACTGAACTACAATCAAATGATGATTACATAGTACAAGGAACAGCACATAATGCACTCCACAGAACAGCAACACAAAATATAAATCACTCAAACACACCAAAACAGAAGGAAAAAATGATAAAGAAAGATGATCTTCCTCCACCCCAAACCTGGCATTCCAGATGCCAGAACTCTCCTCACCACTCTCAAATATTCAAAATACTCCACACCCTCCCTCTGCACGAAAGTACATATTTAAAGAGTCAAAAAATAGTCATTACCCCTACCAACACTACCCATATCACAGGCTACATGTAACTTGACTTTTCTTTTATCATTTTAATTTTACAATCATAAACCTTCGGATAAACCTCTAGACCATTGGTCTTAGTCTTCTCTAAATCACCTCCCTTCCTAGATCGTCTACTGTAGGCCTTAGAAAATGACATCCGAATCTTTCAGGAATCACAAGCTCTATCAATTTGTCGATGGCATAAATTTATTAAAATGATTCCCGGTACTTGCAATGCAAACTGTCAACCCAGGCATAACATGCTTCCAAACTGCAAAGACATAATCATAGTTACCTCCCACAAAAACAGGTATAAATCTTGCCAATGTCCAACAACCAACACTAAGATATTATAACACTATCACAATAGAGCAGAAGATATACTCAGCTGATAAATTGAGTATATAAGAGCTCAATATTTCATATTTTAAATGGATAGAAGTGCTTCATCTCTCTCACCTTCTTACATTATGAAAAACTGATATACTTGAGTGAAGAGCCAAAGAATCCAAATGCAGTATGATTGGCCCCGATTCATCTTCCTTGTCTGGTATACATATAATGACCAGGCTCCAATGAAGACTAAATAAATACAAAATCAAAGACAAGTCATAAATCCGGAAAAAGATTGGAATCGCTGGGGAATATCTTAACAATAATCATACATGAAATGATTAGAAAGAACATATACATGCAGCAAAATTGATCAACAGAACAAAAACTACAATTTCAGATCATGCCATCAAGACTCAAACATAAAATATTTGTAACAAAAATTTTAAATTTTTATATATCAACCTTTTAATTTACTCTTCACTTCAATTGCATGATTAATATGCTTTTTCTATAGGACAATTTCAAAATTAAATACAGGAGAAAAGAAAAGTATTTTTAAAAAAAAAATCAGAAAAGGGCATGACAATCACTTTCACAACCACAAGTTCACCCCAACAATATCATGAGCTAAACACCACAAAGAAGTATAGGAAGTGCATTCAAGGATAAATCTGATTTCAGCACTGAGTCCACTAAATGATAGCATTCTGTAACATTAAATTTCCATCATTCTCATCCTAATTCTTCATTCTCCGTTTATTTATATATTGTATTAAAACAGCATGGGTGGTTATGTTTTTACACTTTATTAAAATGGCATGGTGTGGACAAATGTAAACATCATACACGCCAATTTCTAATCATAATAACTAAACATGTTTTACTAGACTAGTAGAATTTTAACAAAAAGTAGATGTCTGGGACAGAAGACTAACTGACAAGATTTTATAAAAGAACTACAAAATAGAGTGCAGTACATTATCAGTTAAGTAGCAATAGCATTCACATGATAGGATTATTGGCAGCAGATGCTCAAGATCAATAACTTGTTATTGTGTTTATCCATCAGTAACAACTTAAGATTGATACAAAAGAATAATACAGAAAGGAGAGAGAAAGAGAGGAAAGAGAGAAGGAACAAAGAGATAAGAGGAAAAGAGAGAAGAATAGAACAGAGAAGAGAGAAAGAGAGACGAGAGATTCTGGGTAATATGATCAATCCATTGGAATAGCCAAAAGCATAAGGATTACAAAGGTATCTCTAGTATTTAAAGGCTCCTAATCTTGTAACCACCTGAGGGTTACTTCCCTTAACTAACTCTAATTAACTAACAGCATCTAACTTTTCAATGTTACAATTAGACAATACCCCCCTCCCAAAAGAACTTTGCCCTCAAAGGTCATGCACAGCAATTTGAGGGAACTTATGCTGAAATATTGAAAAGAGAGCATTAAACTTCTTAGAAGCTACTGTTAACTGTTCTTTGTCACTGTGCATTGCCATTAGTCACTGTTGATGCTGAATAAATGGAAATAATAAACACCATATTTGAGCCCAAAAGCATTTTTAGTAATCCTCCTCTGTACCATAGAAGAACAAACAAGTGGGTAGGGAGGAGTTAAAGACAAAGAAAAGCCCAATAAGACAGATTTTTCAATGGGCTGATTGTAATGTCTGAGTGACATTGAGCCCACGCAATTACCCCAATTCAGAAGTTGGTTCAGGTTCAGTAAAGATAAAAGGTACAGCTTCTGTGTCTAAAGTTTCCACCTACGTGACAGATTAGGTTTTGACTTTTCAACCTTTATAGGACCTGGCCACATGACTTTCTGAGCAGAAAAAATAGGGAGTTCCTTTTTCTTTATTGAAACTTGAACCCATGTATTGAGTATTGTTGATAGCTGGCATCCACTAAAACTCCACCCACTTGACATAGAGGATAGCTGTCTTTGACACATGCACCCACGTGTGCCGACCCCAATAAAAACCCACTGAAGCTCTAATGCCACTGATACGAAAGAAAAATACGGAAAGGAGAGAGAAAGAGAGGAAGAGAGAAGGAACAGAGAGATAAGATGGAAAGAGAAAAGAATAGAACAGAGAAGAGAGAAAGAGAGACGAGAGATTTTGGGTAATATGATCAATCCATTGGGATAGCCAAAAGCATAAGGATTACAAAGGTATCTAGTATTTATAGGCTCCTAATCCTTGTCACCACCCAAGGGTTATTTCCCTTAACTAACTCTAATTAACTAACAGTAACTAACTTTTCAATATTACAATCACACAACAAAGATGACCACTAATAATTAAATGGATGCTCATTACTGCAAAAAGGAAAATGTTTAGAAATGTGGCATTACAGAAGCTGCCATGCTCTAGGTCTATTCTATATTTACCATTGTAGAAGTATGCTCAAATATTGCTTTGAAATATTGGACAAAGACTCTTTAGTAATCACTTGAAAGTCATGTTGCCAGATTAATGGAGAAACTTACTCCTCATGTATTGGAATTAGAACATATGCCTTCTGAAAAATATTTACACCTTTCCACCACCTTCTGAACTTCACAAAGAATGTCTCTCTATCACTTTGCTACAAAGTAACAATGGCATTTGAGTTAGTAAATATTCTGAATAAAGGACAAAGAGAAAGGTAGCAAGTGGCAGGGGGAGTAATGAACTAGAATGACAATTATATTTATTACCAATGTTTAGAGTGATTGATTTCAATGTATGCTCCAAAATGTCTAAAAGCATTATTATCTATTCGATTGCTTCATAAATAAATTAATAAAAGCAAGACTAAAGAAATATACAAAAATCCCTTCAACTTTTATCCATGTGCCAACAATCCCCTCAACGTTTAAAGCTTGACAAAAAATCACCTAAACTTCCAAAATTTAGCATATAACCCCCCAGCTATTAATTAGCATGTCATATCACTAATGAAGAATGGTGCATAATTTCTATATACAGCTTAAAACTTTTTTCTTTGTGTAAATATCCCCTTACATATAAACCCCTTAAACTTTAAGTCATCTACAGATAAATCCTTCATCATTACATTCAATTAGTGAAATAACAGCTATATTAAGGGAGTTATATACATAAATCTAAGAGTTTGGAATAATTCATTATCAAGATTTAAAGATAAAGAAAATTATATGTACATAAGCCAGAGATCAGGGGGATGATATAAAATTAGGCCTGAAAGAAATGCATACACGGATGTAATCTAAGTCAGTTCATTTTAAATAATAAAACTCTTATTTTTCTCTTCACTCTGCTTTTTTTAAATATCTAATTATTCACTTTCTGTTCTCACTTCTCCTCCTCAAACGCATTCAATGGTAGCCACAATTATATGTGGTAATGAAGAAAGCACTTTGTCCTAAATAACAACAGAACTGGGGAAAAAACACCTGATATAAAACTAAAAGATAACTATGTGTATGATTTACTATCTTTCTGATTCACACAAAAACTGTTACTGGGTTAGCAATTTACATTTTAAGCTAGGCTAGAACTGCCTGGGTCTCAAAATTTACCACAAAACTAGCAATCAGAAAGCATATTTAAAAGGAAAGCATTCAAAGAAATAATCAATGACACCAAAAATTCATCAACCAGTAATCAGACTAGTAAAACAGAATCAGGTTGGCAAGTCTTGAAATGAATCAAAACATTTGATTCCAAGGGCGTAAGTAATGAATAATCTGGCTGCATGCATATAAGTACAGTTATTTATGCAGGGGGGGAAACACCACCTCGTAGGAAACAGCATCCTGGAGCTTCTTGTAGAAATATGTATTAAGAAAAAGATAGTCAGTCACTGATCTGTTTGTCAGAGATGCTTGCTGCTGTAGGTATCTAGCCAACTCAGATTGAGTAATAAGTACAGAGCTTAAATACTATGCATAATAAATCAGAAGGATAATTGCTACATAATAGTTAGATTCAAGTTTCCAACAAGAAAAAACCTGAAAGGTGTAAAAAATAGGTTTCTCACATAATAACCAGCACACTTATAGATGGTGATTTTATTTGCTTCTGTCCCTCTTTAATTGAGCTTTCACTTGTCAATTTATTATTATTTGGGCCTATTTGGATTATATTTTGATAAGTAGACAATTTTCCACTCTAATGTTAATTCTTGCACAAGTCTGGCTTTTAATTTCTTAATTTTGCAACATTTTATAGTGCACTTTTTCCCACATGGTTCTTCCTATTTTGAGCAGATTTTCAAATGGGAATGAATGCTTTTATACAAGCAAAACTTTAGAGGATTTTTCTTGGCCATTGGATGGGGTTTTATAGCTTAAATCTTGAAGATTCGTTCATTTCTATACTTAACAACTTAAACTGAAATTAATTTTTGAGGCAGTATCAAAACCTCTATGACCAATTAATCAACAGTTCAAACCTTGTTACCCCTTTGTCTTAAGTTTTGGTAAGAGGTTTAGCGAGTTGATACTTTATCAATGCTTTAAGCCCCAAAAAGCTTACATGTGAGGAAGCATAATGGAGATTATAATGAGAATCTACACATATTTGTGGGCCTTCATTTAACAGCTTATGCCTTAGAGTTGAAATGGCCCTTGACACAGAGAGCGGTGAGGAAAGACTAAATCACACTTACCGTATGTAAAAGTTCATAATAGTTGATGTTAAATAACCTCCAGGGGCAAGGCAATCCATATCTGTGCAACAAATTTCGACAGATTCTGGATCATCACTGAGACATCACAAAGTATAGTAGCAAAGTCAGGTGAACACATACTTGATTAGAGAATTGAGTTGAAAGGTAATTTTCTAGCATCACTCTTTTATTGTACCTCGATGGATAAAAAATCCTAGCTTCTTTCAGGCTGAAGAAAAGGCAAAGGTTAAGTGAGTTACTATTGCATAGACATATTCAACTATACGTAAATTAGACCAAACAAACGAACATAACAAAACTCCCTTACCATTCAGCAGGTTTTTCGTCTTCATCTATTTCCTCCAAATTATAAAGTTTGTCCTCGTCATCAAGAACAATGAGCTGATCCTGTTTAAATCATCTATATATCAGCTATCACTTAAAATTAACCAGTGATGCTAAAAGGCAGAACAGATCATCTACACACGAGTAATGAAATTGGGACTTACATCACAAAGAATTAAGAACATATTACATACATACCTTCCTAGACCTTGAGCCATCTGATCGAATTGCCTTAAAAGCATCCTTCCTGCCAATTGGGACAAGGAAAAAAAATTCAGAAAATCCACTTAAACCAAAAAATCACGACGAACTACATATTTGCCATCTTCAACTCAAGACAAAAGGGTGCAGGAGGAGGGAGATTTTGACAATTACTTTCTCTTGATAATGATAATATAGCTAAAGCAACAGTGGAGGGACAATAATAGCAAAAGTATAATTAAATATTAACATTCACTGCTTATGTGACAGAGCATAGATGTACTGAAATAACTACAAAGCATTATAACCAAAAATAAATATAAGAAAAATGATCTAACAGTTAGGAACAACAACAACAACAAGTCTTTATCCCACTAGGTGGGATCGGCTACATGAATTGCAAGACGCTATTATCCTCTATCATTTACCAAGCTTTTAGAAATATTATTAATTAAGAGATCGCGTCCCACAACTTCTAAGAGTGTTCTTTTAGGCCTTCCTCTACCCCTCTTAACAAAGCTCAAAGTTATATGTTTCACTCTTCTCACTAGTGCCTCTCGCGGTCTTTTTTGTACATGCTCAAACCATCTCAAATGATTTTCTACTATTTTTTCCTCAATAGGTGCTACCCTCACTTTTTCGCGTACGTGTTCATTTCAAATTTTATCTTTACGTGTATGTCCGCACATCCATTGTAACATTCTCATCCCTGCTACTCTAACTTTATGCTCTTGTCCCATTAAAGTCCAACATTCACTACTATATAACATAGCCGGTCTAATAATAGTATGATAAAACTTTCCTTTAAGTTTATTAAGCACCTTACGGTCGCCAATGAATCCTTTAGCTTTTTTCCAATTAAACTATCCCCACTGATTTCGCCATCATTTTGAATAATGGCTCCCAAATATCCAAACTTTTCCACAGAGGTATAATTTGATATCCCAATTTCACTTTCAAATTACTGTCGATTAGTCTATTACCAAATTTACAATATAAATATTTCGTCTAACAATTAGGAAAATAAAATAAAACAAAACAAAACCTAATTCCTTTAGGTGCACACATTCACGTCAAAATCACATAGAAATTAACACTCCAAGGGTTTAAAAAACCATAATCAAGGCATTTAACTCACAATTTTGGAAGGCAGCCAGATAGTTTTTCCCCAATTTTTTGCAAAGAGAATGAGGAAGCAGCTCTGTGACTTTTATCATCACTTGGGGTTTTAGATCTGGAAATATTGCTAGGGCATTGGAATGGCAATTGTCTTGAAGATGATTGATCTCTCTTTCTTTTCTTCAGCAAAAAGTCTTCATTATGTATCATCTTGTGATTGTCACAATGCTTGAAATGTGATAACTCTCTACTAAATGCGTTGGTTTTCTGACAATCAATCTGCATAACAAATTAAAGTTATATTAAAAAAGGCTGACAAGTTAAAAAGAAACAATCAAAAATAATTTTGAGAGATGTAAACAACCTTACATCTTCCAATTTATTATTAAAACAAGATGCAAACGCGGATGGCGGCTCTGCTTTTGATGATTCATTTTCTTGCCTAAAGCCAATAGACCCACCTAAAGAACACATTCAATTTCTTCAGATCAGAATTCCAAAAACAGACAAGTTGATCTTGTGCAGAAGCCAGCTTTACATATGAATCATGATTCATGCAACAGATATCTGGTGTCCAAGGTTTATAATCATAATCTGATAATTATTTTCTCCCCTCTTTTATGAAGATGAATAAGATCCAAACATTAACACTAAAAAGAGCCCTATGGATCAACATTAATACCTTTTAGCCACTTCCCAGACGACATCAAATCATCAGGTTCCTTATTGGAATCAAGCTTAACTTTCAGCCCATCAATTTCTGCTCTCTCTGTTTTAGTTAACACAGGTATACTTTAAATTATGACCTAGATACTCCAGTGCCTACAACTTAGTAGGAATTGCTAGTTGAATTTAAGCAATCAAAACCAGAACCTCACCAACAGCACTTGAGCTCGTAGCTGGTCTTGCCTTCTCATTCACATCAACTTCCTTTGCACAAAACAAAAGGAGGATAAAATTTAAGTAACTAAACAGAGAATAAGTCCTGCATAATTAAAGGAAAAATAAAATGCCTTGTTAATTTTCTTTCTTTTCCCAACTTTTTGGAAAGAAATCTACCAAGAAATCTGTAAATATGAAGGCTTACCATGTGCACTATTTGCTCATTGGGAAGAGAAAATGGAACGAACGAACATTCACCAAAGAGGGGGAACTATTGACAGGCATAGGAGTTTCATAAAAATAAAAGAAAGGTGACTAAGGAAGTTTTTATCAGAAGATATATGGCAGGTGTACTGTTACCTGGCCTGCAATTAAAAGACAAATCATGTGGCAAACTAACTAGAAAAGAGCCAGTTTAATGTTAAATAAAAATATACCACTAATTTGAGTTTTTTAGCAATATAAAAATAAAAACTACTTCTAAGTTTAAAAATTCCTCCTCTTCCTTTTCCTGCCCCCGTTATGAGCAAGAAATAAGCATGATGAACAGAGCATTGAATTGACTATCAGAGCCTGTGTTTGAAGCTCCCCCGGCAAATAAGGAAATTCAGAGACGCTTCAAGGAGCACGACAATTACATTATCCGAGGCAACATCTACTTGATAGGACAAAAGGCAAGGCACTGAAGTGAAATACTGAAAGGTAAGCACATAAAGAAGCGGTTCGTTTTTTTTTTTTTTTTTTTAAGTACCGTAAGACAGCTACTTCATTCCGACCCAAAAAATTTAAAAAAAATAAATAAATAAACAGCTGAACAATTATCTCAGTTGAGCACAATATCGCTATGCAATATGCAGCCAAATTATCATCGTGTCAGAATTCCACAAAACCAATAAAGCGTAAAACAGGACGCCTAACTCTTACATTTCTAACTCTATCCCCATGCTCTAGGCACGAGATAGACGATACATTTAGTATTTCTAACAGCAGCCGCTAACAAGGCAAAAAAAGAGCCAGACCTTATCAAGACGTCTCCTTTTCCTGCGAGCCAGCTCATCTTCATATTGCTTGATAAGAGCTCGAAGTTTTTCACCTTTGTCAGGCAATTTCGGGCCAGCCGTCTCCAGGGTGCGCTTTTTCCTCTGAAGTAAGTCCGTAAGATCACGATCACTTAACCGTTCTAGGTTATCAGCGACTAGAGATTGCTGATCGAGACCCGAGGCAGTCAATTTTGAGGGTGTAGAAAGAGAATCGGAGAAGGAAGGCTTAACGATGAGCGTGGGTGGGGGCTCATCGTCTCGCTCGGGCAAGAGTTGATCCCAGTCCAGTTGAAGTGGAACCTTGTTACCATCATCGTGCTCCATGCATTCAATTGATCCTCTGGGCCGTCACAGAAGAGGACTGAACAGTGACTGTTAATAGCGTCGCCTCCTAAAGAAAAAGGAGGGAAATGGAGGAAGAAGAAACCAGATGAGAGGCAGCTAAGCGTTGATTGACTCGCTTGGGTACGACGCGTGTTCTGAAGTGTGTGCCCAATTGTCCCGCCCTTTTCACCATTCCATGAGCAACGGATGAATGCGGGTCTCGACTCTGCTTTCTCATGAACTCGGCCAATTTTTTTTTTTTTTTTTTTTGACCAGCAGCTCGGCCAAGTTCAGTATCAGGAAAACTTTCTGTTAATTTCTACCCCAAAAAAAAAAAAAAACAACTTCCTGTTAATGAGTCGTTTAAGATTTTTTTTTTCTGGCTTCCTCTTATTTATTTTTTTCAGCTAATCTCGATCCAAGTTTAAAATTTATAAAAAAATATTTCATTTTATTTTTTATGCTCTCACCTTTTTAAATTATATGATACATTTAGATAAAATTACACACACCGATAAGATTTATTAAATATACTTTACAACTATTTTAAAAAATATATATAAAAATTTTCATAAATGCTGTTTATTTAATATTCTATTTATTGAAGAATATTAAGGAGAGAAAATATATGAGAATAACAATACTAAAAAATTATTAATAAAACTTATTTTTATCAAAGTATTTTATATTTTGAGATACTAAATCTTTTTTTAAAATATTTTATAATTTAAGATAGAAGTAATATTTATTAATTTAGCTTCTCATAACCTTCTTCTTGATTCCACTTATCATAAATTGAAATTAAAAACATTTTTATGAGAATAATAAGTTTATTAATATGCAAATTATTATTAAAAGACTACTTACATTTTGAACTAAATAAGGTATTGTATTAAAATTTATATTTTATTTTATTATAATGTTGATATAAGTTCTATAAAGTAATATTACTGGCTGGGGGGAAAAAGAAAATAATATTGTTGGACAAAATTAATAAATAAGGTTAGTAACTTATTGTGATATCTTGGCTCATTCCATTTTCTTTTTCCAATTGGATATGAAGCAACAGATACATAGAACTTTTTTTTTTTTTTTGCCAAATAAAAATTGTTGGGGCTAAAAAATTTAGCTCCAAACCAAACTATTTGGGCTAAAAAATGTTATTTTGCCCCAAAACTCACCTAAAGTTTTTAAAAAAGAAATAGTTGAATAAGAAACTGAGTTAAACAATGCATCATTTTTGAAAAGTAAGGATAGAAAAAGTCATGAAAAAAGCTACAACTAATGATTTAAAAAAAAAACAGAGCATGAAATTATGAAAAAACTGTCACTTTATACCTATAAAAAAAAAAGTTATCAGATGTGTAGGAGCTCTTCAACTTTTCATCACTACACAAAACTCTACAAACAATTCTATACACATTTTTTCAGACAATTTCTCTAAACAACTCAAAATTTACTCACTCAATACAAAAATCTTAACCCCGTGTTATCCTACACTTCACCCACCACAGTTACTTTTATTCTTAAGCAAATTCAATACATTGTCTTTAGCATACCACACATTCGGCAAAAAGTATTAAAGTTTTCTAGAAACTAATAGAATATTAGCTCTTAGAAGAATAACAGTAATAGCGTGCCAGTGCTTTTTCCTTTATTAATTATCAATATGATGGATGCTCTCTGCATGTAAGTCTGCAAAGTTTTTCCATCTTTATTTCTCTATTCTTTTTATTTTTAAGTACTTGTATTCAAAGAAATTATGCTTATGGATCCTGATAACTCAAGGTTTGATTTTAGAAGTTGGGAATATCGCACTTTTTGTTATTACTATGCACTAATATGCAATTAAAGTATTAAAAATCATTTTAACTACAATAGCAATTTCTTTTTTCTTTTTTTTAACCAAAAGGGCAATGCCAATTTCAAAGATGCATTTACACTTATGTAATATAAATATTAGAATTTTTATTGTATGATATGACTTGACAATAGATAACAAAGCTATAAGGATCATTAGAATTTTTATCGTATAATATCACTTGACAATGGACAACAAAGTTATAAGGATTTTAGGGATATCAGGTTGATAATCAACAATCTAAAATCAAAGAACAAGAAATGATAAGGATCAAACCAAGGACATCGATTAAAAGGGGAACTACATTATGGCCCTGAAAACACATGATATTGCACTTTGAGTTTGAAAAATTCTAATATTATACTATAGACCTAGGAGGCCATGTTGCAATTTTTCGTAAGAATTAAAGTACATTTTTTTCCTTAATGAAAAGGAAAGAAATGAACTAAAAGTAGTGAGACTGATGACAAATACGGGAAGGTTTCTTAGTCGAAGGAATTAAAGGTTTATCAACTCTGATGATGAGAAGTAACTTTTGAGATGCGTAAATTTAAAAATCAGCCTGTCTTAAGTAGTGTTTTTGGTTATGAAATTTTCTATTGGGCTTTGATTAAAGGTGTTATCACCATTTTTATGTTGAAACAATAAAGAGATGAAAGTTGGACAACAAGACTTGGTGAGCAACGTAAGTTTTTGGCGTGTACAAGGTAAATCTAGTTATTATCTTTTAGTGCACATGCCATGTAACTTTCTAGCATCATTCTTGTTTATTGGTGAAGTAGTGACAAAGGTGATCTTGACTTATTTAATATGTAGTAGTTTCATTTAATGGGAGGTCTTACATGAGGTAGTAAAGTACATATAAGATGAACCTTTTATTGTATAAATTGTACTGTGATGTTGTTAGAATTGAAATTTTACTTGTAATTTTACAGCTAATATAAGTTAAAGGTTGTTGAATTATGTAAGTTGGTTGTAAAAGTTTTAAAATAGATTAGTTGTTATATAATAATGATGGATGACTTGATATTCATATTGGACTCTGACATGCGTATTGAATATAACATGATTCCCAATATAAAGAAAATCTGATGTCAGAAATGTTGAAATATTTGTTATGTAAAAATAAACTTTGAATTATTAGTATTGAATGTTGAATTGTGTAAAATAAAAATTGAGTATTTGTATGTAGACATTTACTTAGATTAATTTGTTCACTGTAAGTTAATATAAGAGTTGTCAAGTAGCTCTAGAAAGAAATTGTTCTGTTTCTTTCATTATAGTGGTAAATTTGTGAGAAGTGTTAATAGTATCATGAAGTATAAGGATGGAAATGTAGTTGCTAGAACCATAACAGAAGGATTGATGCATACAAAGCTGAGATCATTGATATCATTTTAAGTTTGCCATAGTGATAATGAAAGTGACATAAAATTTACAATTGAGATTGATTCAAGCACATTGATAGATCTTTGTGATAGTGTTGGAATGGAACAATTGTTTGAGTATAATGGAAGAATTGCTCATGTGCATGTTGCTAGACAGGTTGCACTTGAAGATAATCCTCAATAGTAAATGTTGACATTTATGTCAATTAAGTTAGAAAATATCTTGTCAAAAATACTGGATTATATGTTGTGCAAACTTGAACATTTATTTGTTTATATTAAATGTTCAATTGTGTAAAATATAAGTTATTGATGCAGAGCACTAATAATGTGGCAATATTTGTAGATGCAGGATAGACCAATTTTTACCATTTTCATTTAGAAGTTCGCTATCTCTACAGCATTAGGATATTGATTTGGAAGGCTTCAGCTTGCCCAATTTTAGAGAAAGCATTCTACTACCTAGTGCAGAAGATAATTTAGCCATTCAATGCATTCCTACCCTTATCCTAGAAATGAATGTTGGCAAGTGGATGAATTGTTTTGTACATATCAGACTTGAGATATGATGTCAAATTTCATATGAGTATTTATTTTAATAGTTAGGCTAATACTAACATAAAATTCTCCATATCTGATATAATTGTAATTCTTATTTCAATGAAAGCTTGTTGATTATTATCGTTTGCATAACTTGTATGGTTTATTAAACATATCGATTAACTGAACATGCGTGAACTTTTAGTTGAGAATATATGAATATTATGTTGTACATAATAAATATTGTACTGTACATTATTTGAGTAATCTAATACATTTTTAAGCCTATTGATCAACTGGACACATATAGCATTTCAGTTGAAAATATATAAACATTATGTTGTATATGGTAGATATTAAGTTGTACATTGTTTACATAACTTGGTACATTTTATCAAGCCCACTGATCAACTAAACAAAAATAGACTTTCAGTTGAGAACATATGAGTATTGTGTTGTGTATAATAAATATTATATTGTACATTATTTGCATAACTTGATACATTTTCAAGCCTACTGATCAACTAGACACGCATGGACTTTCAATTGAAAATATATAAACATGGTGTTGTGCATAGTGAATATTATGGTATATATTATCTGCGTAACTTGATACTTTTTATTAAGCCTACTGATCAACTAAACAAAAATGAACTTTTAGTTAAGAATATATAAACATTATGTTGTGCACAGTATATAATGAATATTATGTTATACATTATCCGCATAACTTGGTACATTTTTAAGCCTGCTGATCAGCTGAACACACATGGACTTGCAGTTTAAGCATTGTGTTATACAGAGTGGATATTATATTGTACATTGTTTGCGTAACTTGATACATTTTTAAGCCTACTGATCAAATAGACACACATAAACTTTTAATTAAGAATATATGAACATTATGTTATACATAATAAATATTGTGCTATACATTATTTGCTTAGTACATTTTTAAATCTATTGATCAACTAGACACGTATGAACTTTCAATTGAAAATATATGAATATTGTGTTGTGCATAGTGAATATTGTGTTATATATTGTTTGCATGACTTGATACATTTTTAAACTTATTAATTAACTGAACATGTATGAACTTTTAGTTAAAATATATAAACATTATATTGTGCATAGTAAATTTTCAATTAAGAATATATCCATACCAGCAATGGTAAAAAATGGTAGAGCGACTACTCCCAATCTCTCATTTCATATTCCTATCTACACGAACTTGAGTGTGGCAAGGCTTTGACCTTCAAAGGCGACTTTGCCGAACTCTGAAGACAACCTACCTTCTCATTCAAGTACGGCAACCTTTAAAGACAACTACTACTCAAACTTTCAACACGACAAGGGTCATATGGCTTTGTCCAACCCTTTTCTTTTTGTTATTCCTCCAAAGACAGCATTTAAAGATGAAACTAGAAAGTAAAAAGAAGAAGACAGAGAAGAGGCTATTGCTTTCATGCAGGTTGTTTTCAAATTACGAGCAAAATTGTACTTTCATTCTTAAAAAAAATTGCAACAAGAGTCCTTAATTCTGCAGTGTAATATCAAAATTTTTCAGGCCCAAAGTATAATAATGCAATTCTCCCTTAATTAAATAAAGGTTTAACGTGTGAGCTATTTGCTCATTGGGAACGAATATTCACCAAAGAGGTATATGACATCACTGTTTTCATCATGTTGTTGGCCAGCTAAGAAGAAATAAGAAATCATCAAAGCAAAGAATTTAGTATAATTTTACATTATAACACTTATATGTAGGTTCGTTCTCATGCTTCTAATAATCTAGTCCAATGGAAAAGAAACATAAAAGCTTACAAGCAAAACTAACAGCAATGCCGCAGCATATTTTTAATGTATACTTGACATATAGCTGAAACTGAGACGTCCAAAACTGAATGAAGGATATATCGATGCACAGCCACCTTCCAATAACTAATCCTCACCGGTCACCATGGTTTATATCAATGATAAATTAACAATAGAACAGAAAAAGATCCAATATTGTCTTGACTAAAAGAAGATCAAAACCTTTCAGCCAGTCTAACAGTCACTGCTCTAAGTTTTGAATATACCTTCCCTGCTGGTGATCCCAATATTAGGCTACAAAGAGAATCTCGAGCTATCTTAATGTTGGCAAAAGATCCCAAGATGTGAATTTTGGTATCAGCAATCACAATCCTTGTCTTTGTAGCATTCTCGATTGCAAACTTTGTTTTACCACCTTTGCCAGATAATCTTCCTATGGCACGAGACAGGTGGTCCCCTCTAAGTGTTTTAACATCCTTTATCTCAAAAGATTCAACATAGAGCTCATCTAACCGCAGAAGGGCAATGGCATCCATGACATCAAATCCCAGCATGAAAGCATGTACAAAGTCAGCACACTTTTGCAGGTTACTAATGTCCGGTGTATCTGGTCTGGTCTTCAACTCTACCTTCCGAGCCTTTAAATTCATACGGATGTCAATTTTCATCTGTTCATATACTGGAGTATATATATCCATCCAAGCTTTCTTGAGAGGAGTATAACGGTGCTGCGGAACAGACACTTTGCGGAACTGAACACGACCATCAGACATCTCATGAGGTTTCAAAGGCTCAAACTTAGGCTTTGGTGGCAAAGCTTTGGGTTCGGATGGGACGGCCTCAGCTTCCATGGAAGAAGATGCCTTGTTGGACTCCATGTTGCAACCGTTTCAAGAGCTACCCACAATAAAGTTGATTTAGAACCTACAGAAATACACATGAAGCATAAGTTGAGACGCCAAATCCACAGCTAAGATTAAAACTACTTTGGCAATTTTAATTGGTTCTTGTGCGGGTTCTCCCCTGCCACAAAAAATTAAAATTACTTCAGCAATCATATTTAATGCCATATCAAACAACCGTCAATTCTGATGTTGTTTCTCGATCTTAATTATGTTCTTGGCAGGCACTGTCAACTAAGACCTGTACTAACTTATATCTCTTCCACGAAGCCAGTCCTTCCGGCATTCAGCGCCTCCTCATATGCTAGACCACTCCAATATTTGAGCCTTTAGGGTTTTCACAGTACCATTAATTCCATTACGGACTAAGTTGAGTTCAAACTTCCTAGTACTACCATGAGACTAAATTTGATTTCTATAACCAACTCTGATTTTGCAAATTGCCTTGCACTATATTTTTACATCACGACAGAAACATTGAGATGCTTGGTGGAAATTATGTTTATTCAATGACAAAAACATTAATAATTAACGATATTTCAATAATCCAATTTTGGATTTAAGTTTTTTGTAAACCAAAATTTCAAAACTGAGTGAAAGGACTTAATTGAGCTCTTGACTATTTGTCTTCACCACTTCTAGCTTAAGTTGAGCTTGTAACTTGTGTCGACCTTCAACAGGCTTTTTAATGGACCAACCATGAAAAACTCACTGGAAGTTTAAAAAAGGGTTCAAGTGCATGGTTACCCATTAACTTTATAAAAGATGCCAACATTCACCAATCCTTTAAGTTCTATTCTTAGAACTTAAAGATTAAGGTCAGGTTATGTTAATGAATGGGAGAAGGTTGGCCTCTTTTATTGTTGACTCAATGCCGGGAGAAAAAGTTCATGGTATTTTTGCACCTTAATAATAATTAGGCCAGAAAAAATCCAGTAGGAATTCAAGTCCATTTAATTTAACATTTACACCACACAACCAAACTGAAAATACTCATAAACAAAAGGCGCCAAAAATTCATGGGATCCGAATGATAGCATACAGGGGGGGTTTTATTTCTCCCCCCTCTGATCCTCCAGTGGAGGATTCTACATAAAGATGACAGGTGGAAGAAAAATCCGTTGAAACCTATATGGGTGTTTGGAGTTTATAATGAAAGGACATTGCAGTATCTCTATGAAGTACGTAGCTAAACGAAAAACAAGGCATGACCCACAGAACAACAACTCTGGCCATGTAGGAGACACACAGATGTAGACCATTCGAAAAAGAGCATACTGCATAGCTCCTGCTCAATCTTTTGTTTTCCTCATTTAAATATTCTTAATTCGCCATTGTTCGTACTAGTATTAAAAGAAATAAAAATGCAAGAAGAAGAAGAAGAAGAACGAGAGTGGTAGACATACAAATCAAAAAGAACAAATCACCTGCGTCGGCCGACGGAGGACAAGAAGAACTCACGCACGAGTCTGCCTCACTCTAGTCACTCACGCTCGCGCACGACAAGTTGAGTGTCTATCCCGGTGAAGCTAGGACGACGAAGCAAAGCCGCCTGGACGCTTCACGCTAGGGACATAGAGAGAGACGAGTTTTAGGTTAGCTGCGATATTAAAGGATTTTTTTGTTTTGCCAAAAAAATTGGGCTGGGTTCTTAGACCTTAACAACTGGGCTGAGTTGGCCCATATTGATGCATCATATTGAAACATTTTACTATGATTATTATTATTTTCCAGAATGATGCTACGGTAAAAGTATTTTTAAACTTTAAGCAATTAATTAGAAATCAATCAGTCATGTCATGCGAAATATTTTGCCTTTTTTTGATATCTCATAGTTCACGACATGAAAAAATAAGGAAAAAAAAACTTATATACATAACCTCATATATTTAAGGTGCTTGTTTTTAATTAAATTAAAACATGTGTAATTTTTTACAGATTATTTATTTTATAACAAGTTCTTATTATTAACATTATTAATACATTAAAACTCATATATCTTAATTTGATTAGATAAAAGTATAAGTCTTACACAAAAAATAACCCTCTTAAAGGATCACATTAAAACTTGTTTTCCAAATTTATGAAAAGGATGCATATTTCCTTAAAATTATAGAATGAAGTAAGTGAATGCAACAACTTGGCATTGATTTGGTGGACGAGATTGTTTTTTGCTTCCTTAAGTACGATGACCCAAGTTTGACATTATGTGTACGCTTAAAAAAAAAAAAAACAAAACAAAACAAAGAAAGAAAGACCTTTGAAAGAATTCCTTTGATTTAGGCCTGCCAGAAGACGCTTGGACTTGTATTTGTTGTCGGCTAACTTGGAGGTTTGGTAATGCACCCATGAAAATCACGCAAACAATCAAAAGGGAAGAGCTAGAACAATTTATGTTGACCGTTGTAAAATTATCATATTGACAAACAGTCAAATACACGCCATATTTAATGCTGGACCCATGATTTAACAGATAAGAACATTGAATTACTCCCATTTATGTCGAAGTTGACATGAATATATTGTGATGTATTTATTGTAATTAATAATATATTCCCTCCATATTTAAATATAAGATAAAAATAATCAACTCACGTAATTTAAAAAACTGTTTAATCTTAATAATTGTATCCAAAATAGAAAAATTTATATTAAAATAATCTTGTAATTAATATTAACTTTTTTATCTAATTTACTAATACTATCAATTTATGAGAGGTAATTTGAAAAAAATGTAATAAATATTTTTTGAAGTTTGTATTATCATTTATAAAAAAAACAAGGCAATAAACAATAGTTTTTTTTTACAATTAAAAACGCAGATAGTATATCACATTACATTTCAGTGAATAGTGGCCCAAATTCATTGAAAAAAAAGGCCCATTAAGGCACCTTTGACATTGGGCCTGGTGTCTGACAAGTTGATTGGGACAAAAAGAAAGATGGCATTTTTTTTTTTTACTAAAAGATGCATATATTAATCAAAAGAGGTTACAAGCTTTGACGGTTAATAGCATGGATATTATCATCTTCCGCTGCCTCTTGAGGAAGAGGTAGAGGGAAATCATAAGTACAAAAATAGAAGTTAAACTATGAGCTAAACTCGCAAGATAATTAGTAATCGAGTTATAGTTCTTACTAATATAATGGATTACAATATTTCAATTTTTGTGATAAAGTAGTCGAGCATCCTCAATAATGCCCTTAAAAGGGTGCTCCTCAATAGACCCATACTGTAGTAATCGGATGGCTTGAATGCAATCACTGTGAATCTCCACTTCTCTGAAACCAATGGACCAGCAAGTTGAAGGCCTTCAATCATAGCCATAATCTGTGCCATTTCTGGAGGAATGTTAATTAGCTTATAGTTGAAACCCTTAACTTAATTTTCTTGCTTATCCCAAATAACGCCACTATAACCACTTTTACTACCAGCCTTCACGGAATCATCCACTTCAAGTCTAACCACATCCTTTCCTTGATGAGGTTTTGCTCGAGAAATTGTCTTATAATTTAAAAAGGGAGCTAAATGAATAAGATCAATGTCCCAAGAGTGTGATGATTTTCTACAAATTCACTATCAAAAATCTTCCTACATCTTTTAACCTAAATATCCTAACACATATAATTAAACAAGATATCTCAATTCACCTTTTTCATAAAGCCTTTTCCTGCATCTTTAGAAAGGTTCTAATCAACACAATAAGCTCCAGTAAGGGCAGTAAACATATTCTAGTGTCTCTCTTGAACAACTTCTTTCCATTTGTTGCGAGCATACAGACCATCACGTAACAAATGAATAGTCTTCTAAGGAATTACATCCAATTGGGCAGCTTTGCTCAATTTTTAGTCCTCTTCTTTATCTCAGTTCCATCGTATGAGCTCATCTGTGTGCAAACAACCACATAAAAGACTTGATCTTCTCAAGCATTGACCATCTACAAATTTTTTCCAAATACTATCATTGTTCCTTCTTACACCTATAGAAATAAAACAATACGTAGATTTAACATTAAAACAAACATCTGAAGACGGTTTTCAAAAGCATTTATCCTCTTTCCTCACTAGGTGGGTGGGCACAAGTAATGTAGGCAACAATGTTAGGCTGGAACAAAAATTAAGCTTTCATAAGTTCCACTAGCCACTTTGATCGACATAGTCCATTACCTTCTCATCTTTATCAACCATCCCCTCTCTTCTTGTCACAAGTTCAATAAGGGGTATATTTATTATAAACTAGTTTTCAAACCAAAAATATATGCTCCTACCATCTCCTACCTTTCCCCTCAAGCATTCCTTGAATTTTCCCCAAACCTCACAAAATCCCTTCTAGGTGTAAGAAGAATTTTTCCTCCTGCAGACCTTAGGTATGCTAGAATTTTGACACTTATATTTGGCTTTTAAAACTTGAACCCATAAGGCATCTTCATCATTAACAAGATTCCATTAAAGCTTCATAATGAAGGCCTTATTTTGTCGTCTAAATGACTCAATGCCAAGTCTTCCTTCCTTCCTTTCTCGTGTCACATTATCCCATAAGATAAGGTGGATTTTTTTTTTCAATCCCCTTCATCACCCCACAAGAAATTACAACTCACACATTCAAGCTCATTTAAGAGCTTCTTCAAGAGAAGCCTAGTTTGCATGTGGTATGAGGACAAGGTCGCCAAAACTACCTCGATGAGTGTTGCTCTACCAACCATATTAAGAAATTTCCCTTTCTAGGTCGATAGCCTTTTTTGACACTTCTCAATAATAAGGGCAAATAACACAAATGACACCCTTTTAAATAGGAGAGGGATGCCCAAGTATTTTCCCAAATCACTAGTTAAGATCACACACATTTGTCTACTTAAGTCATGAGCTTTAGAGAAGTGAACAGATTTGGAGAAACACACTCTAGTCTCTGTCTTGTCCATTTTTTGTCTCAATGCTTCATAGAACCTTTCCATACATGCCATAAGAGTCTCCACTTGGCTAAAATATGCTTCCTCCAAAATGATCAAATCATCCTCATAAGATAGATGGAATATTTTAAGAGCTCTTACAACAACTTAGATCGAGGGTCCAAAGTTGATCCTTAACAGCATCCTTTATAATATGATTTAATTTTTCCATACATAAACTGAAAATATGGGGAGATATGGGATTCCCTTGTCAAATTCCTCTAGTTGGCTTGAAGCTTTCTATAGGATTACCATTCTATAAAATTTGAAAAGTTGAACTTTTTATGCAAGACATAAACACCTTACTCAAGTGGGGATTCAAACCAATTTTACAAAGAGTGTCATTAATAAAGTTTCAATTCAACCTATCATATGCTTTTTCCATATCAACTTTCACCACCATAGTTCCTTTCTTCTTTGAAAGTTTTATTGTGTGAATAGTTTCGAGGACAATAATAATATTATCACTACTCTGTCTTCCTGTAATGAAGCTACATTGATGTTTTCCTATTAAAGTGTCCATCACCTTGTGAAGTCTCCTACTAAGTACTTTAGATAGGATTTTTTAGCTTATACTACAAAAGGAAATAGGTCTAAAATCTTTCATGGTTTCTAGTTTATCAACCTTTGGAATGAGAACCAAGTGAGTGGACTTGATGTTCTCCAACTTATCTGGATCCCTAAACATGTTCTTCACCAGTGAGCAAACATCATCACCAATAATGTGCCATAATTCATGATAGAAAAAAGCTTGGATCTTATCTAGCCTTAGAGCCTTGAAGGCACCTAAGTCAAAGGCAACCTCTTTAATCTCTTAATTACTACTTCAAGATGGATTTCCTTAACATTAAGGGCATTCAAACAAGGAAATTTATGTCTTGTTGAGAGAGTAGGAAGATCTAAGTTGTCCCCTTCAAATAGAGTTTTGTAGTATCTCACTACCAATTCTTGCAATTTTTATCAAAAAAAAAATATAATTTTATTATATAAAATTTTTATCTAAGCTATCCCCTTCAAAAGAATTAATATAAAATGTAAAATTATTATCAAAAATATATATAATAAAAAATTTACAATAAGTTGAATTATTTATAAGATAGTAATAATGTCATTCATTGAAATTTTATATAAGCACGGATCAAAATGTAAACTATATTTCAAAAGAGTAGAAAATGAATTTTTAATTTAATTTTTGAAATTTTTTAAAAAATACTTATTATTAAGTGGTTCAATTTTTCAGCATCTTAAAGATTAATATGTCCGAAATCAAATCAGAAATAGATGCTTTAGGACGACAGACCACATGGAGACAAAGAGATCAAATCCTAGTGATATCCTATATTTACCTTCCAAACCAATCAACTCAGATGGGCCATATATGGGGATCGAATCATCACCCATTAGTCATTACTTGTTGTTTCATTTAATGACAATTTACTTTATAACCCTTCTGATCTTTATTATAAAAATCTTTAACTATCTCATTGACATCAAATAGATTTGATTAAGTTTTTAATTTTATCTAAAAATATAATAAGCTTTCAATTTATTTAGATCAAGACATGTTTTTAAGCTCAAATAATGATTATAGAATGCCCACTAACAAGACAATTAACAATGGGATTTGAACCCATGACTTTAAAGGTTATGGGCTAAATCTTTAGCTACTAAACCGGTCTTAGTTTTTAATATGTTTTTGCACTCTAAGAATAAGTAAACAGAAACGGGGAAAGTAACCCGCGAGCTAATACATCATAATTCCATCTACTTTAGATATATCTTGTGTTCACTTAGATTGGTAAGAACTAAGAACTTTAGGACCTAAAAACAAGTAGGAACCTTTTCATTCCCAAACAAAACCAATAACCACCCCAAAGTTTGCTATTCCTTGTTCTCTTTCTCAAACACCACCTGAAAAAGAAATAAACGTGTCTGTCTGTCCATATCTGCACACACACATATATCTATATTACAGTACTCACTATTCACAAGTGTATAATTGTTAATATTGGAGAAAAAGATGATGATTGCCTGTGACCACCACGGCCTTCTCTTTCCTTTTTAAAATTAATGCGATGCATGCAACTTCTGGTGCACTAGCAAAAGAAAATAATTACATCTGACTCTGATGTCTCTCTTGTTTTTGTTTGTCATTGTCATTACATATATAAAATACTTCTGCATGCCAGCTAAGCCGGTCCTGGCAGATTTGGTCCTTGTCACGCTACAATATGGCACTTTGCTTCCTCATTACCAAAGCTAAACCCTTTTCTTAATCACCCTCCCATTAATTAAACCAGTTACATCAAATATTTAAGCTTCCAGATCCACTTTCTTGGTTCTCTTTATTAATCTATTTAGTTCTGATCTGCCTTCTAACGGACTCTTTCCGCATATTACTTTCTTCACATGTGACACGGGCTTCCAAAAACTATTGTTGTTTTATCAATTGTATCTTCTTTAATAATCTCCAATATTCCCCATAACATAAAGGCTTGAAACTCTTAAGTTGCTTTGTGTATAATCTAATCTTTAAGAACACTTGAATAGGATGAAAAAATGACAAAAATGATTATGGTCTAATATTTTTACATAAAGCCTTGGTTCAAAGTGGTACTTTTAAACCTTACTGTTTTGTATTTTGATGTCTTCTCTTTCCTTAACTTTTAAACTTATTAGTTCGGTTTTAAATATTATCTGACTTCGAATTTCAGCTTTTTAATATTGACCAAGTATACACACCATTACACCAAGGACTTCACAGTAATCAGCTCGCCTCCATCATTGGTTTGTTTTTTTTTTTTTTTTTTGGTGCAAATTGGAGTCTCCTTCTCTATAAAAAGCCGACGCGTTTCTAACTAACAAGCCTGCACTTTAATAGGCCATTTGAGATATACGACAGAAAACAGCCACTTAGAAAATGAAACATACAATGGATGTTACAACCTTACCTGTTGTATTCATTAAATGTCCGGTCCATGTTCCTATACATTTAGGGCTACCCCACAAGGCCAAACCTCAAAGAAATCAATGCACATGATTCTCTGGATCACTGCCTTGCAGATCCAAAGCACACATCGAAAGCGATACTAAGAAAGGAATAGCCAGCTACTAAACAACTAAGCACAAGATAACGATCCTCTAAACCAGTCTCCGTATATATAACCCAAATCTGCCATTCCTTTCTCTTCATCTCTGTATACAATTCTAAAGATGGAATTTTTGCAGAAAAAATTTCTATTTTCAGCTCTAGTCTCTATCCTCTGCTTTGCTGCTGAGGTTTCTTCACATAACAGGTTTTATACACCTCCAAGTCTCACGCCTTTGACTGGTTCTTTTCCTCGTGTTCCAATTGATCGTGCGTTTTCTAAGTCTTTTGGGGCCTCAAATATTCAGTATCTCATTAATGGGTCCACGGCCACTTTGGCTCTTGACAAAACTTCAGGTTCATTTGAACATGAATTTATATGATGATTCTCTTAAAGTTTGAGTCTTTAGAAACTTCTTATGATACCCTTTTGATTGCTTTTGCTTTTCAGGCTCTGGTTTGGTCTCACAAGGCAGATACTACTATGGATTCTTCAGTGCAGCCATCAAACTACCTGCTGGTCTATCATCTGGTGTTGTGGTAGCCTTCTATGTAAGCTTCAGTTCTTATCTCATGAACATGACACTTGAAAATTGCAGTGTCTGATTTGTGTTCACTATCTCTCTCTCTCTCTCTCTCTCTCTCTCTCCGCGCTTCTTCAGCTTTCATCAAAACCTGTTAAGGATTGAGATCTTCTGAATCTTATAATATGGTTATCTCACGAGGAAATATCAGTTGTCAAATGCAGATAAGTTCCCTCACAATCATGATGAGATAGACATTGAGCTCCTGGGGCATGACAAGAGAAATGATTGGGTTATTCAAACCAATATGTATGCCAATGGAAGCGTCAGCACTGGAAGAGAGGAGAAGTTCTATCTCTGGTTTGACCCCACAAAGCAGCACCATTACTACAGCATCTTATGGAACAGCTATCACACAGTGTAAACCACTTTAAATTATGTTCCTTTATCAAGTTAAAGAAATAGGAATCTTCTTTTAAATTAGCTGAAATCCTTTTTTAACATGAATACTTCAGGTTTTTGGTGGACAATATTCCAGTGAGAGAGTTCATCCACAGCAATTCATATCCTTCTATATACCCAGCAAAGCCAATGTCAGTTTATGCAACAATATGGGATGGATCAGAATGGGCAACACATGGAGGAAAATACCCTGTGAATTATAAGTATGCTCCATTTGTTGTGTCTTTCACTGAAATGGAATTAAGTGGCTGCATAGTCTCAGATCCTTCAGAAACACCATCAGCTTCTTCTACATGCTCAAAGTCGTCGTCGCCTTCTTCAAGTCCTTCAAGCTCGGACCCTGTGAATGGACCTGAGTTCTCTAAGCTGTCTCAGCAGCAGATTGCAGCCATGGATTGGGCAAGAAGGAAACTCATGTTTTACTCTTACTGTCATGATAAGCCCAGGTTCAAAGTCATGCCTCCAGAATGCCACTGAAGCATACACACCTATATTATCATTTAACTTTATATATATATGGATTTTTTAACAAAGTATACTTTTTCACCAACCCGGGGTGGGGCGGAAGGAATAATGTTGTGTGTTTGATTATTTGGCTCAAGGGTTGGAAATTTGGAATAAAGATCACTAAAGTAAAAGATCAATTCAACGGAAATTGTCTATCATTTTTTTAGTAGAGAAGGGGAATTATCTTTTTTTTTTTTTGGCTTGAGGACTAAACTAATATGGTACTAGTGGATTTCACCAAACTCTCTAATTTATACAACTAATCTTCTTTCGTTAGGGGAATTGTTGCTTCAGTAATAATAAACATAACACGCTAGATAGTGATTTTTCTCATCTTTAAGATAAATTTATGAAAAGTTTTAAAATTTTGTTTGGCTAAATTGTTAAAAAAAAAGGTCATATGCAAAAAATATTTTTAACTTGTAAACAGAGATTCTAAGTGTCAATAGGTGCTGTTATTTGGTTGGAAAAGAATGGGGACTAACTTATGCAAAACCTCTCAAATTGTTACTATCACTATTATTACTTTTAGACAAACTTTTAATTTTGGAGCATGGATAGTTGAGAATATGAAGTTCATTAAATTAAGATTGAATGAATAAAACTTAAAAATTCATGGATCCAGAATATATGGTGTTAATTTTTTGCGTTTGGGAGTTTATGATGGGTATCGAATTCCTATTCTGATTCAGTTTAGCTCGCTTGGTTCTCTTTGGAAAGCCACTTGACATTCATTGTTCCAATTTCAATTATATTGAAGAAAAAGTGTCTTTTAATGGAAGGTTGAGGCCTCTGGTGGGTATCAGAGGCACATGAAACTGAGAGGAAAGACAGAATATACGTAAAACCAAACAATCAATTCTGAGGGACATGGCCATGTGGCTCCAACCTGCCCCAGAGTTTCATTTCCCTGATGCTGTCGTCCACAGGCGTCAATGCCTCGTGCCTCAACTATACTATTCAAATAAAAACACAGAAATATTCTTGACTTTACCCCTCCCCTGTCCCTTTGTCTAAATTAATAACAAATCATCATTTCCAAACAAACTCTAAACTTCTAAACTTTAATTAACCCTTAATGCTTAAAAAAATCTTAGATGGTGACGGTGATTAAGTTGAGTGGAACAGACTGTTTCTCTTTAAGTAAAGGTCAATCACTCCAACCAGATCTCATATTCATCTTGCGACTCAAATCAACTCACTCTAAAAAATCCAAAGCAAGCTCAACTTCATTTAAGATTGATCATATCATGAAATATTTTAACTTCTTGGTTTTACCCCAACATAAATAGGTAAATGACAATTTACGAAACCAGTTTGCAGGATTTATGACATTCACTTTATCAAGGGCAAGTTGTCTCAACAATAGTATCGCCTTCCCTAATTGGAAGAGATCCCCAAAACAAACTTGACGATATGTTAGAATGCATTTGTATAATCTGATTGTATAAAAAAAAATCGATAAAACACACTCCACAGAATTAATATGCATTGAAACACAATAAGAGTGGCACAGAAAATATTTTGCTTCCGGAGGTAATGTTGGGAAAATAAGACTGGACCGGAGAAAATGAAAGAAAAAGAAAACTCTGGGAGACGTGTAGCATACAAGAATTTCGTCATCGTCTTCATGAAGAAGCTTATTTATTGGTCTTTGACAAGAGAAAAGGGGGAAGAAGAAGAAGAAGCTACATGCATGTTCAAAGCCATGCTGGGTTCTCCAAGGGAGTAACCACGGCCTTCACTTGCAAGTAGTTTTTAAGACTGTAAATCCCTTTTTCTCTGCCTTGCCCACTCATCTTGTACCCTCCAAAAGGAATTGCAGCATCAAATATATCAAAGCAATTTACCCATACTGTCCCCACTCGCAGTGCTCGAGTCAGAGTGTTTGCTGTGGCTATGCTTTTCGTGAACACTCCGGCTGCCAGGCCATAGCGTGAGTTGTTTGCTCTCCGAATCACTTCATCGAGGTCCCTGAAATCAACCAAGAAATTAGTGCGAGACACGGACAGAGATAACGAGTGGATGTGAAAGTCTTGATCCTTGAAGATGTCACTTTTCTCAATCAAATTCCTCATTTCTTCAAGTCCACATCGTAGTCCTTCAAATTGACTTCCATCAACATGACAGTACTCACATTTACTGAGCACAAGGACAATGTAACAATCGAACTATGAATTTCGTTTTGTTCTTAAGCCATGTCAGAATTGTGGACAACAATGAGATGCCTTAAAATGGATAATCAGAAGAAGAAAAATGACATCTTTGGATAACCAAAACTTCAAACTGCACCAAAAAAACATAGTCCGCTAAAGAGGGATCACTGCACTCACTTGTATTTCAAAATAGATTGCACAGGGCCAAATATCTCATCCTTCGCAATCGACATATTGTCCTGAATGATTCTATAATAAGTAACCCTTGAAACCATGTGTTCAGTTATTTATATCTTATATAAGGTAACTCTGCAAGTAAAAGATATACCTGAACATTTGTAAACACGGTGGGCTTGATATAGAAGCCTTTATCTCCTAGTCTCTCTCCCCCAGTTTCTAGAGAGGCTCCACTTTCAACACCAGATCTTATATACTTCAGTATCTTCTCAAATTGTTCTGAATCAATCTGGTTGTTTGGATTATACATGAAATTGTCAGTATGTGTGTGTTTGATTGTTCAACAATAAAACAGGACGAAATAACCAATTAATCATTTTTCTTCAAACCATCAAGTACATAAATAGGTTACCCTATAAAAGGTTCGTTGCAATATACCTGAGGACCTTGCTCTATTCCCCCCTTGAATGGATCACCAACAGCACGTTTCAAAGCACGTGCCTTGGCTTTTTCAACGAATTCATCATATATACTTTCATGCACAAATGTACGAGACCCAGCACAGCAGCACTGTCCCTGTAGTCAAATGGATGTTCGTCAATCAAATTTTAAGAATAATTCTGAGACATGACTGCTAGCAAGATGCCAAGATCCGACCTAACTATTACATGTTACACACCTGATTAAAGAATAATGCAAAGTGTGCTAGCTCTACGGCTACATCTACATCAGCATCTTCACATACAATGAAGGGGGATTTCCCACCAAGTTCCAGAGTTACAGTCTTGAGATTACTTCTTGCTGCCAGTTCAAGGACGATTTTTCCAGTATCAGTTGATCCAGTAAAAGCAACCTGCAAAAGGTATCAAAATTTGAGGCTCCACGGCCATCATCCTTATAATCCATGTGCAAGAGTTAATTATGAAATTAGCATTTGGAACTTCTTTACAAGACGAAGTCTGAGATATATCAATGTCAAATTAATAAAAGGATTATCATGAAAAATGTTTTTTCCTAAGCAACCGGTCTAACAACAGTCATCTTATTTTGAGATAGAAACTCATTCTTGGTGCCATGAAATACGCCACTAACCGTGAAAGGATTTGCAAAAGTCAGAGTTCCAAAACAGAGTGGAAAACGAAATACCACAAGGGAGGAGGGGATTAATGACTCATAATTGAAACAAACGAGTACTCTTACAAACTTGAGCATCTTAGTACCTTATCGATATCCATATGACTAGCAACAGCAGCACCAGCGGTTGGACCAAATCCAGAGATAATATTTAAAACACCAGAAGGAAGCCCAGCCTGCCAGAGTGATTATAAAATCAGTTTGATGATTGAATATACCTACCACAGTCTATTAATTTCCTCCATCAAAAAAAAAAAAGGACTCAGCTACATGAACAAGTGATTCGACAAAAAGTTTGGTGTACTGTGTATCACTCAATGTCACCCACCTCATGGAATAGCTTAGCTGCATATAAAGCAGATAATGGCGTTTGTTCTGCTGTTTTCAAAACGATAGTGTTGCCACATGCCAACGCAGGCCCAACCTTCCATGCAAACATGAGAAGAGGGAAGTTCCAAGGAATGATCTGACCGGCAACACCAATTGGTTCATGCAATGTTTGCACGTGATGTGGTCCATCGGCAGGAACCGTGAGGCCATGAATCTTATCAGCCCAACCTGAAGAATTCAGACATAGAAGTATTAGAAATTCGGAAGTTACAAAGAATCTATCATACAAGTTTAAGTTGTATATTAGTTGGCCCTCGTACCAGCATAATATCGAATTAGACGAACCAGCATTGGGACTTCAATCTGAGCAGCTTGGGCATATGGCTTCCCGTTGTCCCAAGTCTCAAGTGTCGCAAGCTCATCATTATGCTTCTCAATAAGGTCAGCAGCACGCAGCAATATCTTTTGTCTTTCCTGTAGTTTGCATTTGTAAGACAGGAAAAAACATTGAACAAAGTTCAGAACTTCAGATTTCATGGCTTTGTACGCAGTAAAAAAGCGAAGTTAGAAATTAGCGTAAGAGGTGATTACATAGGCTGTCATTCTTGGCCAAGGCCCTTCATCAAATGCCTTGCGTGCAGCTACAGCTGCTCGATCTACATCTTCAGAGTCACCCTCGGCAACATGTGCAATTACTTCCCCTGTCCTGGGGTCCAATGTTGGAAAAGTTTTGCCTAAAGCCAGAAGAATCCCAGCAGTAACCCAGTAAGATGCCTTTAAAAATTGAATATCCGCTCTGCTTTTTTAATCTCGTAATTGTTCTTTAAATCTTTCAAAGTCAGGTTTCAAACTGTAGATCCTAGTTTCTTGGAAGTATTGAAGGAGATAATGGGAAGGGCAAGTCAAGTTTGACCCCCCAAAAAATATTAAAAAAGGAAAAGAACTCACCGGAAGCAGCATCCACGAATTGCCCATTGATTAGGAGCTGAGTGTGTTCCACTTGAATCGACGGCTTAATCGGTTCTTCAAGAGCAGCAGAAGCAGTACTGTATTTACTCAGCCCTCTACTCAAGTAACCATTCCCACCTAAAGCGTTTGTTTTCAAACATTGATCAGAAAAGGTTTAGAGGCAAAACACGCAATAAACATCCACTAGGAGGGGAACTGCTACTCCAAGCATGTGCGCCCATATTAATATGATTTGTACCAGAAAATAACTATCAAGATGCTACACCTGAAAATAACATGTACTCTCAAAAGGTACTGGGAACTTGTAGTTTAGTCGAGACAAATACCAAACCACAAATCGGGAAATGATAAAGAAACGTTACTAACTGAGGGGGACCGAGGAAGCAATAAATGACAGAAACAGAGCATCGACTTTTCACTGCAATTAAGACCTCCTGGTACGATATTCTCCTCTTTCATATCCCAGCCAGTTACCCGCCCCACAATCCCACATCATTCCCTCGTATTGTTTACTTCCTTAGACTTTGATCCAGTACGATCCACAAGAAATTGAAGTCTAAACTATATCTCAAATCCCCAGTAAATCAACTTAACAGGAGAAAAGAAATTAAAGGAAAAAAAATGAAAAGCTGGGAAGAAGTCGCATCAACATTTGGTTCTGCTGAACAATAGGTTCTGACATTTTCTGAGAAACGAACAGCACCATCAACAAAACAATCAGATCAGCGAGCCGACTGATATGAAAAGATCATGGAAGTGATGAATAATTAATACCTCCTCGGGAAAACAGCGAAGCAGAAGCGAGAGAGCGAGAGAGCAGCCTTGAGATCCTCATCGATGAAGCCATATCTCCCTCTTAGGCTGTTCGTGCTCGCAGTAGTATTATTATTTATGGGAGGGATGACTATTATATACACGAAAGTGTCGGGATAGACTTTAATGAAATAATACAATATAATATTTCTAAATTCTAATTTGAATGAATCCCTTATTCATATCTGTGACTTTACAATAGTTCCAAAACTGAAATTCAAAATTCGACGCACGTCATAATTTTCTCGCCGATTAAAACCAAGTGTACATACATACACAGTGTCTCAACTCGCGAACGCGCACAGTCGCCCGCCCAGGGGAAGACGAAGAAAAGCAAAACGCATGGCATGGGCCAACCGATATGCGCTGCGCACCTACCACGAGATCCTGACGTGGGCAATTACTATTTACTAGTGAAAATCAAATTTATAAAAGGGCAATTGCTAAAAAGGACCGAGATCCTTCAAAGGAAATTACAGTCAAATGAAAAATTACTTGAAGGATCAAAGACCTTAATTCCGTGGTCCTTTTTCCCAAATAATTTCATCCCTGGGTCCTTTTTAGCTAGTTTTCTATTTATAAATTTGATAAATTTATTGTTATAAATAATTAATAAATATACATATCGCTTGTAATTGTCTTTTTTTCCCCGATAACGGCATGTGATAATCTTTTAGCCGCATGGCGTGGGCCTTCCACATTATAGGAGATTGCATGGCATTCATTGCTACAAATACAAAGTACAAACAACGTCACGAGTCTCACCATTTTTGCCTTCGGGTGCGCGTGCCTCATCATTTTTCCTACTTTAGCAGTGCAGAGTATGGGATCACATTAAATTAAATTAAATATTTTTAAAAATCAGATTTTTACCCCTAAATTATGATGTCACAAGGACTATTTCTATGCCAAAATAAAAAACACAAGACTACTTCAAATGATATGGATAATGGATAATGGCCAGATAAAATTTTTAAAATTTTAAAACTTAAGTATCATTTTTATTAGGAAATTTAAGATGTTTAACTTGTAAATGTATGAAATTTAACTTATTAATATGGTAAGAGGTCAACTTGTAAATGTAAAAATTTTGAGTAGTAAATCTTAAAAATTTACTTACAAATACTCCATTTCTTAAAAAATGTATAGCATTTTAACCGAATTTTACTCTTAATAAAGTAGTTACTTGTCTTCAAATTAACTTTATCCTTCCATATAAGTCTTTAATAGAATATTTTACTTTAAAATAAATGTAAAATAATTTATTTAATAGGGAAACTTTTGAAAAAAAAACAATGATTATATCTTAAAAAACTAAAAATACCTTACATTTTTTAATATTTAACTCTTCAAAAAAATATCTTATATTTTTTAACGAAATAAGTATGTGATATTTGATTTATAAATATCAAAAGATTCCTTTCAATCCGAAATATAAGTCTTTTTTTCTCACTAATATTGATTCAAAATATGAATAAATTAATTTTTTACACATTGTATTTATTAATCTAGATCTAGATTCCTGTATTCACTAAAAATTTATGACATTCTCTCACTTGTCATAAACTGAGATTAAAGATAAAAAAATATACATTTTTATAAGAATAAATATTTTATTCCTAAATGAATTATTGTTAAAAGTTACTTATATTTTGAATTAAATGTAGTATTAATATTTCAATACAAAATATTTCTTGATCGGTCAACAACCATTGTTGATCAATCAATGCGGGTTAATTGGTGTCAAAAGAATTGAGGACTTTTGTATTACTTTCTTCGTCTCAAATTATATAATACTTTTAAATAAAATTTCACAAATCAATAAATTTATTAAATATACTTGACAATTTTATTTTTTTTAAATAAAAATATAAACTTTTAAAAATACCCATCACTTGATATATTGGAAAAATAAGTGGTGAAAATTAATTATAGAGAGAGAAAGGGTAATATTAGAATTGGTGCATTTAATGAAATCTTAATCTACTCAAAGTGTCTTATATTTTAAAATAATTTTTTTTAAAAGTGCCTTATAATTTCAGACGAAAAGAGTATTTTATATGATAAATTAACTCTAACCAAATCTCATTGAATTTTAGAGTATTTTTATAAATTTATGAAACTTACTTATAAATAAGTCCCAGCCTATTTGTAATTTTCCTTTCTTAATATACCATTTCATGCCAATTTGAATTAGGATTTATTTATGATACTTTTAAAAATAAGGGGAATGATGTTAAAGAAACAAAGACAATTGAATTAAATCTAAAAAAATAGAAATATAAGATAAAAACATTAAAGGACAAAAATATTAAATTAAATTTAAACAATGACAAAATGTTTGAAAAATCTAGAATAAATACAAAAGTTCCCTTCGTGAATTTGTATAAAAGTTTAACACAATCATTTCATGGTTTGCAATCCACATAGCAAAAATGTGAGAGCAGAGATTCAATAATTTGAAGGGGGGGGGGGTGGAACTTATCAAATATGTCATTACTCGAAATCGTCTTCCCTTACGTACTGAATCTTGTTTGCAAATTTTTATTTTAACAATTTCAAATGATCAAATAAAAAATAATAAATTCTTAGACCTACTCAATAAATCATATTTCATCCTTATTTTAGATTTTAAATTTTTTATTTAACTTTAATTCAATATTTTAGTCTTCTAATATCATTCCCCTAATCTATCTAATGTCATATTCTAGAATTTTAAAATGGACTAAAGGGCAATCTATCTCATAGACTATAGGTCTAAGAGTGTTTGAAATTTTAAATTTATTTTTTTATATAATGTTATCTTTAACTTTTAAAAACTATATAATGTCACTCATATCATTAACAAATGTTAATATTAACTATTAGTTGATTTGAAAATAATAAAAGTTAATCTAAAAAATTACAGACAAAGATCCAAAAATATAAAAAAAATATTATTTTCTGTAATTTTTTAGTCAACTAATTATTAATGTTAATTTTTGTTAATTATGGAAATATCATTATACCATTTTTAATAATTGAAGCCTAACGTTGTGCTAAAGATGAGAGGTCAAATTGCTATTTAAACTCCTTTAAAATTTATCATGTTTCATACTTTTTTAATAAAAAATGTAAGGCATTTTTAACCGAATCTCACCTCCTAATAAAATAGTTATTTATTTTTAAACTAACCTTATCTTTTCATATTTATCCCTATTAAACATCTTACAATAAATATAAAGTCACTATCAATAGATACACTTAAAAAAAAAAACAACGATCACATGTCAAAAAGATTATAAATATCTTATATTTTTTAATATCTAACTTATAAAAAAATGTCTTTTAATGGAGGGAGTATATGGTATCGTGCGAATTTCTGCCTATGCTAATGCTACACCAATCGGTCGGTGTTGAACTCAAACAATCTATAACGCTATCATGAATGGTGGTGCTGATACACGACACCAAATTGAAGAAAACGTGGGCATGATGGATACAGATTTTGTTGCCAATTCAATGCACATGGATCCAATTTCGGAGATATGAAAAAGGGGTTTGCTATTTTTTATTGATCACAGGCAAATCAATCGGTCGTATATATGTTGGCGAGTCAACGAGTTTGAATTCATAGTTCAATAGTGGATGTCATTGCTTAAAGAATATAAATACGAATCTCTCGTATTTGGGGGCTCTTCAAGCTTTTTCCTGTCCGTGATAAGCTTGTTGACAATTACTCTTACTCCTCTTGTCGTTTTTACATGCATGATCTGTATCTACTATTAAAATATGGGTCAATCTGATTTCACTAATACACCATTGAATCAATGCTTTTACAAATTTAATAACATATTTTGTTTATAACTTATCTGATCATAGCTTGATTGTAATTTTGATTACTAACTGCTAACCTTATGCCTTAATTGATATAATGACTGATTTCATTCTCAATATATTATGTCTGAAAAATTTGTTCACTTACATTAAGAAATGTTATTATATTGCTTTATTTATTCAAAAAACATCACAAGTTTTTAACTATACTCTCATGACGTAAAAGAATATAAATATATAAATGTTATTGTGAAAGATAGAGCCAATAAAAACATTAAAAAAAAAAGACTCTCTGTTATCTGTACAAGATCATCATGTTTTTTCAAGTTTCAAGAATCAAGAATATGATTAAAAACAAAGGATAAAAATTGAACATGGTTTCAAAATTTTACAAGACACTTTATAACTGTGAACGCCTTTTGTTTTAGTAAAATAATGACTTATAAAAAGGACAAGGGAAGTATTAAATATTTGTCCATCAATTATTTCCAGCAAATTAAATTCATGTTTTTTATTTTTATTTTTAAATCTAATTATTGTATATTATTTAATTATTGATTAATTGATTATTCTTTTGCATGCTATTTACCTAAGATATAATACTGTAATATTGTCGGGCTTAATTAAGATGACACGCAACATAATTTTTTTCACCGACAAGGGCAAATGTAGGAGAATATGAGAAGGATAAGTCAACGTCATCGAAGAAAGAGGGAAATAAATATTTCTGAATTGTAAGATAATCTTCAAAGTCATCAACCTAACTTACGTCTACGAGGCTACTATTACTTCTACCGGACAAATTCTGAAGTATGCCAAAATGACGTGTCCAATAAAACATAATATTTAGATAATACTAAATACAAATTAATTATGATATTAATAATAAAGTCATCAACCTAACCTACTAGGCTACTATTACTTCTATCGGAGAAATTCTGCCGAAATGACGTGGCTAATAAAATATATTTCCGTTAAAAAGATAAAATATTTTTAATTAAATTTTACTGCCTAATAAAATAATTATTTATTTTTAAATTAATCTTATTTTTTCATTCTTACTCTTAAAAATATCCTATAATAAATATAAAGTTATTATTATTAGAGACATTTTAAGAAAAAAAGATAATGATTACACCCCGAAAGATTAAAAATACTTTATATTTTTTAAACATTTAACTTTTCAAAAAATGTCTTATATTTTTAAATGAAGAGAGTAATATTTAAATAATACTAAATATAAATTAATTATGATATTAATAATAATATAGAAAGAAAATATAAGAAATTAATACAAATTCT